TCTTTCTGCCTCTGCCTCCTGTGTACTGTAATTCTGAACACGGCGCCTGCATGCATGCAGTGCTGGAAGCCCAGCTCAGTGTTTCCTGCAGGCTAGGCATGCCACCAGCGGAGCTGCACCCCAGCTCTGGTTTTTCTGGGATGTAGGGTGTTTAAACCTATTTGACTGTTTATGAAGCAGAAGTAGCTGAGTACTGAAGGAGGAAGCTGCCTAGACATCATAGCAAAGAAACTTTCTTTTCCTCTCTTTTTATACCAAAAAGCTAATGAATTTAATGATATAAGTTACATACAGACAGAAATTATAAATAAAAGTTAATTTTCAAATGGATAGACATTAGTAAGATTTGTCGAACAGAAAGGGAAAATTATAAAACTAGTATATCGTGAATGAAAATGAGTCATTCCCATAAGGACACAGAAAATCTTTCATGTGAAAGCATGCTTGAAATAATCTTATGTCAAGAATTGGCTCAGCTGTTAGAGGCTAGGTTCATGACCAGGAATACAAGCAGACTGTTTCTCAAGCTTAGAGGCAGGACTGGAGAGATGGCTCAGCAATGAAGAGCGTGGCCGCTCTCTCAGAGGACCCGGCGTCCATTCTTAGTGCTCACGTGGTGGCTCACAACCATCTGTAACTCCAGTCTCAGAATTCAGTGCCCTCTGTTTCCCCGCACACCACAGACATGTGGCGTATGGACATATATGCAGGCACACACTGATCCACATAAAAAAAAATGGAAAAAAAAACCCATAGCAGAGGCTAGCCTACGAGGACGTGAAAGGGATGGACAGAGGCAATGGAGTTAGAGAGGACGAAGTTGTCCAAGAAGAAAATAAAAAGTGCCCCCCTGAGAGTCTTATTCTTTCTTTTTCGTGTGTGTGTGTGTGTGTGTGTGTGTGTGTGTGTGTGCACGCACACGCGTGTGTGATGTAGAGGGTCAACACCTGGTGTTTGCATCACTCCCTGTTTTATTTTTTTGAGACAGAAGTTCTCATTAAGTGTGGGTCTCATCAGTTCATCTTTCAGATGAGATAAACTCTCTCCTCTCCAAGTTGCTTTTGGTCAGTGTTTTATAAAGCAATGGGGGAAGCGAACCAGGATACTTGCCAAAGACTAAAACTCACCAGAGCCAAACATAAGTGCATGGAATAGTGATGATAACAAGGCTGAGTTTTCACACAGAGGCCCCTGAGGTATTTCTGGGTCATGGAAGCCCAGGCTTCTTCTTCTGGTTCCTTTGCTTCTCTCACTTTAGAGAATTAGAGAGAGAGAGAAAAAATCAGTTTCACGGTGGTTATGCTAATGAGAAACAACAACATAGAACTTGGGTAGAACAGAGTAAGTCCTTACATGTCTGAAACTCTGGTTTGAAAAAGTCCCATTGTGCACCGGGGGAGAGGTGGGAGGGGTGGGGTGGGGGAAAAGTAGGGATTAGGGGAGACAATGGGGGTGAATGTGTTCAAAGGTGTCTGCATGTATGAAAATGGTACAATGAAGCCCATTGTGCTGTGCAGTTATGTGCACTATTAAAAAAAATGTCCCATTGTTTACTGGTCACAGAGCCTCCAGTGAGGCTTGTGTGGGAGAATTGCATCCCTGTCTGAGAACCAACTGAGACGAGCTGCAGAATGCCCATCAGGCTCTTCCTTCCTCCGAGTAAGACCCAAAACTTGCACCTCGAGAAGAAAGCAGAAAAGTCCTGGAAACATCTAGAGCCTGAAGCAGAAGTCATCTCCAGAAGTGGGGAGCTGGGTCTCCCGAGACTTGCCCAGGACTGGGTAAGGTCAGGACAGAGGAACCTGGACTCTGAGATCCCTGAGGCCAGACAGGCTAAGCATGTGCACTTGAGTCAGCATAACTGAGTGTCAATATCTGCCCTTCTTAGCTGTGTGGCCAGGAGAAAGGCACCGAATCTCTCTAAACCACAAGTTCCCCATTTGTGGAAGGGGAATAAATTCTGATTGCGCTTCATCACAAGGCTGGGGTGGGACAGAATGAGAGAATTCATCTGAAGGAGCCTTAGCTGGGCGTGTAACAAGCACTCCAGAAATATGAGCGATGATTACATAACTCCTCCTTATTTTACAGATGACAAGACTTGGCCCAAAGAGTAAAGTGATGTTTGTAAGGTGGTCTGGTTTGCAGAAGAGTCAGGTCTGGGTCTGAGTGTTCTTCTGATGATAAAAATGCAATAGGCTAGTGACAGAGAGCAAAGCCAAATTCTGGGCTCAGATCCCAACTCTCCCACTGTCCCGTGCTAAATACAAGAGGAAATCTATTTTTTAAAATTTATCAATGTGTTTATTTAGTGTGCTATGGGCTGACTCCAAGGCACCTCATATACATGCATGCTACACACTGAGCCTTGCACACCGGCTCAGGGACACCTGTTCAAACGTTGGATTCCCCCACTGTGTTAAGGGTAAATTCAGGTTGTTACAGGGTCTGAGATGAGAGGTCACGAGGCTGCATTCACAAGCCCAGCAAATGACATTTTCCTGCCACCTCCTTCATGCGTTCTAAGTCAGGCTGTCAGAAGACTCATGTGGAAGAAAGTCACAGGCAGGTGCTTCAGTGAAGGACTAACAAGACGGCTTAGTGTGCAAAGGTACTTACCAGCAAGCCTGACAGTTTGAGTCTATTCCCAGGTGGAAGGAGAAGACTAATTTCCCAGGTTGTCTTCTGACCTCCACAGGCATGCTGTGGCACATATATTTGCATACGTGTACAAACAACAAGTACATTAGAAAATAGGAAGGTACTCATGATTTCTCTGTACTGGCCGTTGGTTCAGGGTCTTGGGAGAGTTGGCCAAACTCAACAGGTTCAGGTTCACGGTACTAGAGAGTGCAGGGGAGGCGTGTGGAATCTTGGGTCGGGCAGCGGGAGTCTGGGAGAGGCTGGAGGAGCAGAGTCCAGGCTGAAATGTGGGGAAGGTCTCAGCTGGGATCAGGGAGAAGCTGATTGCTGAAGCCTCTGGCAATGCCTGTGGCTGTCCATGTGACGTCATGGGAAGAGAGTGGCTTTGAATGTGAAGAGCAGAGGATGGCTGCAAGATACAGACAACCAGGGTCTCTCTGTTGGGGACGACAATGGGTAGCAACCAGTTCTTCACAGAGAACTAGAACTTCGTCCACAGCTTCTGGTACTGCTGGGTTAGACAGTGCTGGGGCTTTGAAGGCAGAGGCTGTCACGCCTCCGGTGTCAGGCCTCCTTCCATGGCAGCCTACAAAGGATGAGAGGTGACCCTGGTGCCGTAGCATCATGATCCCCACCCAAGTCAGTGTAGAAGGGTCATCTCTGCCTCTTGGTTGAGTTCATTATTGGTACTGTATCATGGCGGGGTCCTCTGTCCCGCCCTGCTGTGACCAGCAGACTATGTAATGTTGTCTCCAGGGATGAGAGGATAATTTCTTAGGAAAATGAGTCATTGGAGCACAGGGTGGAGCGGGTGGGTGAAGAAGAGGAATTGGAGAAAAACAGGATGGTACGGGAGGGCATGCTGGAGAGATGGTGGGGCCAGGGAGGGTGATGCTGGTAGGGAGTGCCAAGAGGCAGTGGGTACAGGGAGGGCAGGGAGCTTCAAGCCCACACTGGACAAGGGACCCAAACAAGCTGGATGGAAAGCACGTGACTGAGTCTCCTAGTTTCAGCTCTTGACCTTCTACAGTCTGCTCCCACTCCATCTAGAAGAGAGCAAGTCATGTTGCTTTTCAGATGAAAATCCTGCAAAGATACTTCATGCACTATGAATAGAACCCACAAGTGTCTTGCTATGTATGACTCATGAGATCTGAGTCTTTCTCGCACTTTTTTTTTTAAACCTTTCCTGGTGTATGTGTGCCTGTTTGGATACACATGTGAGGCCAGAGGACAGACAACCTTGGATGTTATTCCTTGGGCACTGTCCACCTCATTTTGAGAGATGGTCTCTGATAAGCCTGGTGCTAGCTGACGGCACTGGCTTGGCTGGTTAACCAGCCTCACAGACAGGTCCTCACCGGCTCCTCCCCAACATCCTTCAGCCTTTAGCTCGATTATTACTTTCAGGGTGAACTTTCCCCTGACCCCCCCCCCCCACCCCAGTTTCCTCTTCCTAGAATGTGTATTTGTCATTCCTGTCTAATTTTCCCCTGTGCGATTGTGGCCCTGTAGCAAACAGATCCCTGGTTTGTTTTGTTTCTTTTTGTTAAACTCTGTACTCAGGGAGGCGCTGACCACGAAGAGAGAAGGTGCTCAGGTACACAGCAGCTGTTCAGTAACCGTTTCCCGAAGATTAGTCTGTAACTTGGGGCAGCTAGGACAGAAGCTGGCCAAGAGGCTGGCTTGGGACGTGCCTGACCTCAGGGCAATCTATGTCTGCAGTTGTCTCCCCTGAAGGACACAGTTTTTGGAAACCAAGCTTCTCAACGGTTCTCCAACTCTAGAAGCTTCCAGGAGGCAGCAATTAAGGATTCAGACTGAATGAAGGATGGGGGAATCCGCTTTTCCAGGAGGTGAGTCGAGACAGGTGACAGGGTGCTGTGCCGGAGTTGATGAGAAAGCAGGAGGCAGGCCAGCTTGGGCTCCGCCAGCTGTGCAGGGAAGGCAACTGCACTAGTTACCCATCCCACCTCCAGATTTGCTTTGTGATTTAAGGCGGGGCAAGTCCAGCAGGCCTTCCTCTTTGGCAGGCTATTGCAGGGATTGCAGGCGAGCTTCAGGCAGGTAACCCACAGGCGTGCTGCAGAACGCAGGTGGAGCAATAGAAGAGGAAGTGGCGAAGTCCGCGTGGCATCTAGGGGAGGGTGCATGGAAGGGAGGGGGGGGGCGGCTAGGAGGATCTCGGGCCCCCGCGGGACAGAACGGCAGTTGGGTGGAGGCAGGGAGCAAGGAGGTGTTTCCCGGGGCAGGGGGCGGGGACCTGATGGCTATAAGGTGCCCCAGGACTCAAGTTCACTGAGCTTCTGCAGACACTGGTTAGCTTTCAGTACTCCCGCTGTGACCATCGCCTGTGGGCTCTACCTTCCTGCACCTGCAGCCCGCACCTTTATCAGCAATGACGGACAAGGCGCCCTTCGAAACCGATATCAACACCCTGACCCGCTTCGTCATGGAGGAGGGCAGGAAGGCTCAAGGGACGGGCGAGTTGACCCAGCTGCTGAACTCGCTCTGCACCGCGGTCAAAGCTATCTCGTCTGCGGTGCGCAAGGCGGGCATCGCACAGCTGTGAGTGAGGCCTCTGGCGGCCCGGTCTGGTCTATTAGAGCGCCTGGGGGTCTGCCTCTCTGCCCCCCCTGCTGGTAGCCAGTGTGCCCAATTGACACCCGAGATTCCCGTCTCTTGCCCTGCTGCACACAAGCCTTCAATTCTCGTCCTCCTGGTGATGGAGCAGGCTCCCTGGGAGGGCTGTCTTCCAGGTGCACACCTGCCCTAGCCCTCCTATGGGCCCAACTCTCCTTGTCGCTCCTCCCAGTCTCATGGTAAAAGCCAGTGACTTACCAGTTGCCCACCTGTGCCTCAGACAGAAAGTGCTAGCACGGGCTGCCTACCTCCCCTGTAACTCTCTTTGGAATTTTGGCCTCGAGTTCAGTTTCAAATCCAGTATGATCCTCGGCTTAGGCTAGCTCCATTAAGAGTACCTCACCGACCAGGAGTCTGGGAAAAAAGAAGTGGATGTCCGTCAAAGTCCGATGTCCACAGGGTGCCCTGTCTGTCCTCCCTTTTTCTGGGGCTAGCTGCAGAGCCTCACCTCGTGAGCAACAAAACCTGTTCCTATTTGCATTAATGCCATGAGCAGATCTTGCCCAATTAGTGAAGAGCTCACAGGCAGGGCAGAAGTAGTAGACTCCTTCTAATGGAGCCAAGGAATTGACCTTCTTCTGAACCATTTGGGGACCCTGCTATCCAGTCCCTCCTTCAGGGGCGACTGGGGAGGGTCTGAGATTCTGCCTTTCCAGTCACTTTGCTTGTGGTGGGTGATATTTGGCTTTTTGGGACAGGGTCTTACTGTATAGCTTTTGATGTTCTGGAGCTTATACTATGTGTAGAGCAGGCTGACCTTGAACCCAAACACCTGGTCACATTTACTATCAGATGCCAAGCAGGGATAGGTCTTGCTAGAGAAAGCTAGGAACAGGTTAGAGGTGAGGACCCCTTCACCATTCTGTTCTTGGCCCCAAGGAGTCATTGAGCAAGCTCATGAAGGTGAAGTCCCATTTCAAACTGAATTTACAGAGCACAGGTTTAAGTCTCTGAGGACCTGGCAGCTTTCTGAGAGACCACAGCTGGCATTTTTTACGTTAGTTTAAAAATGTGCTAGTCTCAGAGAGACTTAGAACCCCCAAATCTGCTGTGAGATAGCCAACTTAACTGACCTCAGATGATGGGAATGGGGTTTGGTACAAGGTGCCAATTTGGGCATGGGAGAGAATGTATATTAGTAGAGTAGATGATCATGACACCAGTTTTGAAAATATTATCATAGATCTCTTAAACAGTTGTATCCACTGACAAAAATATTGAGCCATTAAAAAGATAGGGAGGAAAAAGAGACCCTCACCCATGCCAAATCTCCAGGGTACCCACTGCTAACAGTTGGTGATTATTTTTTTCTGACTCTTCTTTATGCTCGAGTAAATGTCTATATGAACATGCATTTACATGTTCCTATGTAGCTAGCAAACAAAATTGGACTGTATTTACCACGTTTTGCTCCAATTACATAATGGACGTTCTCTGACATCAGGGTATGGCGTCCTCCACCTTCTTTTAAACTTCTGTATGATGTTTCACTGAGCAGACATTTGAGTGATGTGAACCCTTCTGCAGTTTTGTGGCATTTAAGTCCTCGCTACTCTGGTTGTTATGGTGGTAGAATAGGTGTTGATTATGGCTACATGAGTAACTGATGGGAAGAAGTTGAATTCTTGGGACAGGAAGCATGTGAGTATTTCCAGTATGGCCAGCAGTCAGACTTCCAGCAGCCAGATAGGATCTTGACAGGCCTCCAAATTATATTCATTCGGGCTTTGAAGTGTTAGATGAAGAGCCAGTGTGCCTTCAAAGAGCTTAATTATTGCTTCCGATTGGCTCTAGAAAAGCATGCATCCAAAGGGATGGGATGGATGCAGAACTTTCAAGAACCTCAGCCTGATGTCTCACAGGTCACCAGAGTTATAATTACAGCTCATGATGCTACCCTGTCTCACTTGCCATTGGCATTTCCGTTGCTCCTAATGATGCGATATCACGAGGCGGCAGCATTTCATACAGCCCAGGTCAGGTTCTGGGGAAGGGAAGGCTAGAAGCATGGAGTTGGAGGAGAAGGCATAGAAAACGGGTGGACAATATGAAGGAGTGACCAGAGCTATAGCAGCGGGGAAGGCCGGGGGGAAACCTGGCAAAGCGACTCACGAATTGGATTTGGGCAATGAGGGGTGTCCTCAAACAGCTGGTTCTAGCAAAGGATAGTAGAGTCATGTTACCAAACACAAAAGCAATACAAAACCCCAAATGGACTTGCAAGGAGGACATGACTTCTAGAGTCTGTGGAGCAGTGAGCGGACGTGGAAGTTTGGAAGTCTTGGTTTAGGCTGTTGTAGAAACGCACAGTCATAGTCTGTGGGCATCTGGGCCACTGGACTTGGCACTTTGGCCCTGAGAGAGAATGTCGTGGCTGGTGTCTAGAGGAGCAGGGACTAAAGAACCCATCTCAGAGAGAAGGGACAGAGTTTAGATTCCCGGGCCGACATCTAATTAATGTGGTGGTAGGGACGGGCGGGAAAGCATGTGCGAGCCTCAGTTTAACCCTCTTATAAGATAGGGATAGAGCATTGTGTGAGGAAGAAGGGACTTACTAGTCACATACTGATGTCATTACTGGTCTATTCCTTTCTTTGTGTTCTGCCTTCATTCTATTTTGCAGCCACCCACATATACATCAGCTAGAATGTATTCCAGGCTGCAAGGTATCCTTCTTGTTTGTTGAGATAGGGTTTCTCATTGATCCGGAGTTCACTTACTGATTAGGCTGGTCGCACTGGTGGGTGAGCTCCTGGGCCCTGCTAGCACTGAAATTACAATTGTGTGCTACCATGTTCTGCTTTTAAAACACGGGATCGAGTTCAGAAACTGTGCTTGTGTGGCAAACACATCACCAAATGAGGTGGCTCCCTGGCTCTCCAGAAATGCTTCTTTATTACATATGAGATCTTCCTTGTGTGATGGAGGAATATAATGATTCCGTTTTAAGTTTGAACTGTGGGATGGTTAACGCGTGCTTGCGCTTGTCTTCACGTTTGCAGAATTTATGGCACAAAACTGCATAGAACAGTACGAGACTCTCTCTCGTTTCTTGCCTTATCTGTACCATATGGCTTGAGTGCACTGCAAAAACTCATTCCAGGGCAGAATCAGAGCTGGCCTTATACCCTCACATCTGTCCACCTGCAACCTGCATGAACAAAAGCCAGGGTTGGAATTTGTGACCCTGAAAAGAGCTTGATTGGCACCTCTTCTGTGTATCTCTGAAGTAACCCTTGGATCCCCCCCCCCACCCCACTCCCGGGTGAATGGTTGGTCATTTACCACAGGATCAATCGACAACATGGTGGAGGCGAGGTTACCCGGGACTTCAGTGATAAGACTTTGAATCATAACCTTCTTTCCCTGGTCCGTGGTTAGACGATCTGAAAACCAGTGTGGTCTTCCTGCACGCTGCCAAAGCTGCTGCTGTTGCTCACGGCTCTGGTGTAGACACTGGGAGAAGGGGAACAGCCTGTCAGTCAGGAAGTCAAGGATGTCATGTAGGGCTTGTCCATTGTGTGGCAGGCCCCGGTTTTAGTCCTGCTGTTCAAGGCCAAGGCTGGGGCTCAGTGGAAAGTGTTTATCTAGCACGGAGGCAGGAGGATCAGAAGTTCAAGGTCACGTGGGGATACATAGACTACAGGAGAACACCCGCCTCCCCGTGACACACAAACCACCCAACTTCCAGCTCTGACAGACCTGGGCCGCTCTCAGCTGTTGCCAAAGAGGGTTCTTTTTGTAGTAGTTGGTGGAGAGACACAGGACTGGGCACCTTTCTACTGAGAGATGTAAGACACGAGTGCTCAGCCCTGAACACTGCATCTTCATTAATTCTCGCCCCACCGAGGAGGCTCAGGGACAATCTCAGAAGAGGTGGCAGAAAGAATGGAGGAGCCTGAGGGTGGGGAGGAGCCAGAGGGTGGGGAGGAGCCAGAGGGTGGGGAGGAGCCAGAGGGTGGGGAGGAGCCAGAGGGTGGGGAGGAGCCAGAGGATTGGGAGGAGCTCTGCTAAGTGCTGTCTTCTAGATGTAACATGGCTACAATGAACCCACAGCAGCTGTAGTTTCCTACACAAAACCCACACAGGATCAAGCCAAGCAAAAATCCCACAACAGATCTCTGGCCCTGCCCCTCACTGAGGACCTACTGGCAATGGATGTTTGCTAGGAGAGGGAGACTCATTCTGTTTGGAGAATGTGGGACTGTAGAATTTCCACGATCCCAGGGATGGCCCCACATCCATGCATATGTGGGTATATAACTAGATTTAGAGAATTAAAAAAAAAAAAACAAGGACAAGAAGTAGAAGGAACATTTCAGTACATGTATGAGAGTCTCAAAAAAATCAAAGAGAGAAATTAAAAGGCAAAGCTGCTGAAGGCTTCCCTTCTTCTGTGAACATCTTTGGTCCTGCCTATAAAACACCAGGGGCTTCCCGGCTATGGAAGAGCTCCTGCCATGTTAGAAACCATATACAAACTTTGCATTAAACACCGATACTTAATCTAAATTTCCAAGGATTTAAACATGTTGAGCAAATTAACCCACACTCTGAGGGATTCCTCACTCTATTGGTGAAAACAGTTTATGCTCTTAAATTCTGAGTCTGACAGTAAAGGATGAGATATACAAAGTACTTCTTAAGGCTAGTCATAGTCCATGGATTCCAAAGAGAGAATGCTCATCTCCGGAAGCCCAAGAGGAGAAGGTCAAGGGCCTAGAGTTTTGTCTACACACTTTCCTCACTCTAACTGCCTTCAAATTAGGGCCAGCTAATATGAAGTGAATTGTCACAAGACCCAAAGGAGCTGTTTTATCCTTCATGCCATTCACTTGTGATGGCAACCCTGTGTTGGCTTCTTAGAAGATGTCTGCAAAGGTGTTTTAATACTGGTCCCTCACCCACACAGCACCAATCATTTGCTTAGCAGATGCCTCTGGGAAGCTGTTACAAATAGCCTTGTTTATCATTTTAGGGAGTCAGACACGCCAAGGAACACATCTGTAGGGCAGGTGTGTCATACTCCCTGTTTCTGGCTAAGTTCATCAGGATGGTCATACTTCCTGAATGTCTGTGTATGCATGGGCATTATTTAGAGCCATTGACCCTTATCAACTCATTCTCCACTCTCACCATGCACCATGAAGCTGACTGTCGCGTTCCCATGTTATATAGTTGAAGAACCAGAAGCCAGAGGTATGAAGTGACTTGCATAGGGCTGCCAATCATGACTGTCACCTTCTGTGTTCTCCTGAGAAGCTGTTGGGAAGGAAAAGCCACTGCCTTTGCCCGTACAAGTCTGGGAAAAGAGGCACACATTATGGGTTTTTTTTGTGTGTGTGTGTTTTACTCATTTATTGTGTGTGTGCATGCATACTATGGTATGTGTGTAGAGGTTGGAGGACAGTTTGTGGGAGTCAGTTCTGTCCTTTCACTATGTGGGTCTGGGGGACTGAGCTTAAGGTGGCCAGACTTGGCAGCAAACACCTTTATCCACTGAGTCATCTCCTCTGAGCAGGAGGCAAACTTTGATGTGTGTGCTGTGTGTGTCATGTACAGGAGGGGGTGTGTGCTCATGCACAGCAGCTTTGTGGTAGAGATTAGGGCTCAGATGGCAGAGTTAGAAAGGGAAGAATTGCTGACACCCCTGAGTTTAGAGTTCTTGGAGTCTCTTGTCCCTTTCTGGATCCATCCATTCAAACATGTTTTATTGAGCACTTGCTGAACGTTGCTTTTGCTCATGGAGCTAAGGATATGAGCTGAAGCAAATAACATTTGGTTTAGGTGCAAGAACTGTCAGTTCTCAGATGTGTAAGGCCAGTTCCTTTAGCAAATACCGTTTTCAAATTAGCATTTACCTTGCACCCCTGGACCTCAGCTCTAGTTTCAGGCCTCACCGGAAACAAAGCAGGCTGCTGTGTCCTCAGGTAGAGGCCTAAGTGGAGAGAGGAGTCCTCAGGCTGGCCCAGACAGTCAAGACACGATGCAGAGATTTCAAAACAGATAAGTCACTGTTTTGCATCGTCATGGATGTCTTCCCTCGTCCTAACTTTGACTGCTATGTACAAATCTACTGAGGCCTGAACCCTGTCTCTGCATGCTAGGACAGCATTCTAACCATGAGCATATCCCCTTTTAAACCTTTTGAGTACCAGCTGTAATCCACATGTATCTAAACACAGCTTTAATGAGCTTGGTACTAGTGGTTTGGGGTTCTGGGTCCTGACAGGCAAATGACTTGGCTGTGGCTGGGTAGGACATTTAAATTCTGTTGCCCAAATTAGCAATGTGGCCAGTGGTGCTCAGGTCTGGGCAGGGGCCTTACCCTTTTGCTTTCCCAGGGAAGCCTCAAGTCATTTCCTCTTTCCCATCCACCCCTGGGGCTGTATGTAGCTCAGCTGGTTGGGGGCTTGTGTAGAGAGTGAGCATGCCCAAAGCCCTGGGTTGGATCCTCAGCTCCTAAGGTTTGTGTGTGTGTGTAGGTGGAGGCAGGAGGATCAGAAGTTCAAGGTCATGTTCTGTTATACAGAGAGTTCAAGGCCAGCTGGGCTGTCAAAAGAGAAAAAAACAAAACAAAACAAAACAAAAAACAGAAAAAAAAAAAAAAAAAACTGAAGCTGCCAGTCACTGAAGCAGTGACAACCAGTTCCCAGGAAAGGCAGCTGACATCTCAGGGTGCCATTGTGTCCCCACCCACTTCCAGCTCTTCATTAGTCGCCTCCTTCCCTCCTTCCCTGGTCTTTCTTCAGCCTGCACCGACGACAGCCCGCCTCCCCCTCATTCAAACAGAGCCAGGCTGGAGGAGCCTCTTGACTCTGGGAAGACTTGCAGGTAGCCCACAAAGAAAGTAAAAAACTCAAGCTCCACGCTCCCTCCCCCTGCAGGACTGACCCCATGCAGAGGCTGAGGATCCATCCTAAGAGCAGCTGGGAGTTTGAGGGGACAGCTCACCGCTATCCATCCACTCTGCCTATCCCTGTGGTGTGGCTTGAGGTGAATGGATGATGGTGTTCCATCTCTCTCCTCTGGAAAATGAAGTGTGACACCATTCACTGCTTCCTTTCTCTCAGGATGATTTCTGTTATAAGCCAAAGCGTCCTCCAGGGTAGCTCACACACCAGGTTCACTCCAGCCCAGGCTTTCTTGCTCGTTTTTAACGAGTGCACTGAACTTCCACATGTGGGGGAAAACATTGGTCCCTGGACAAAAACAACCAACCACCCAAAAAAAGACACCCCCCCCAAAAAAAAGCCCCAGCATAAAAATCACCCGATATTATGTACAAAGCACAGGCACACACAGTAATAATAGACACACGGTGTGAAGGCAGGGTAGATTGTTGTAAAAGGCTTCCTAGGGTCACTATAATGGTTGGGAAACATGAATCTGACCAGAGACATCTGTGATCTCAGGACTGGCACTGGGTCCCCCGAGCAGTGTCCCCCATGCCCCTACCCTTTTTGCCAGCTTCTCCAGGCAAGGCCACCCTTTGGCATGTCTGCTGTCTTTTTTTCCAGATCCTCTCTTTGTCATGCTTGCCCTCAGTGAAGTTCCGGTGGCCTTGGCTTAATTTCTGTGTTTTTCTTCCCTCCAGCTTCGGCATCGATGGCTCAACCAATGTGACGGGGGATCAAGTGAAGAAGCTGGACGTCCTTTCCAATGACCTGGTTATCAATATGCTGAAGTCGTCCTTTTCTGCCTGTGTTCTCGTGTCTGAAGAAGATGAACACGCCATCATAATAGAGCCCGAGAAGAGGGTGGGTCTGCGCCCGCGCTGCTTAAGGCTCCCATGTAGCCATGTTCCTTGTTGGCTTCATGAATGGTTTTTATTGGCTTCTCCAAGCTAGATTTCTAGGGGTTACCCAAGCTCCCCCTGCTCGGTCTTTCTGCCATCCCAAACCTCTAAACTCGGTCCTAGAGGCTGTAAGTGGAGCTCTTACAGTTGGTCTGGATAATATGAAGCCGGAGTCAGATGTAGCGGGGAAACGCCGAGAGATCAGGGAGAAGTAGCGAGCCACAGCCACACCTCACCTCCTTAGCGTCTCAGCAGACAAGAGAGCCGGTTCCTGTTTCTCCCTGCTTATATCCCGTCCCGCCCAGCTACCTCACTTCCTGCCCTGTCTGCACGGACCTCCAGACCTCTATGGTTGGCTAGTGGCACGCTCTATTCTCCGACCCCCCCACCCCCCAGCCCCAGACAGGCATTTTATTTGTGCAAGCCAGACATCACTACGCGAAGCTCCACTGATGTAATTTTTCCCATTTCTCCAGGGGGTGTCTCCCTTCCTGAGCGGTCACTTGTTGTGCTTAGGTATCTTCAAACCCTGGCTTCTGCTGACTACCTCTTAGTGACCACCAACTGCCAAGCTGAATGGACTCCACATTCCCAGCCCCAGCTCAGGCATTGGGATTCCCTGGATGGGCAGAGAACAAGAGATAGTCTGTGTGACCCAGTGTCTAGCTCCAGTCTGGCATGCTGTAAGGGTCAATGGAAAACAGCTGGGGGGTGGGGTGGGGGTGGTGCTCAAGCTTGCAGAGAGGCTATGCACGCATCACCACGTGCTGCGGGAGAGAGTTTATTTGGCTCTTAGAAGACAATGGCAGATGGTAAAACACACACGAAGCTGGGAGCAGTTACACTTAGGGCCCTTCCCCGATCGAGGAGGATTTGGGAGCATGGAAGAGTAGAACTGGGAGAGAGAATCAGAATCTGAGTAAACATTCAGCTTGTGTTGACCTCAGTAAGGGGCAGAAGCCAGCCTAGAGTGACACGCTCTACAACCCTTCTAACGTAACGCGTCACCACATGCCACAGAAGTCGGGATCTTCCCTGCAGTGTTGGCCAGTTTTCCCGTGGCCCGGACCCCATCACAGTGGCTGCAATCTCATTTCCAAGCCTGTAGTTTCCCTAATCTACGGAAATGCATTGTTGAGAGCAAACAGTCAAGGAGTTTCACGAACCTGGGGCAGAACGTTAAACATCACCCCCTTTCTACGCACACAGGCGCGCGCGCGCGCGCGCACACACACACACACACACACACGCACGCACGCACGCACGCACGCACGCGCGCGCACACACGCTGGAAGAGCCTGCTGTTCTATGAGCTTGAGAGCTGGAGCTGGCCAGCCAAGCATTGCCACTGATGCTCTGCTCACAACACAGCACAGGGCCCTTTCATTTAGGAATCGTATCAGGGAGGGATGATGTTGAGAAATCTGTGTACAACAATTTCACGTAGCACCTACCAAACTGAGTGAAAAATGCCTTACAAACCTAAGTGCCCAGGACATCTTCCCTTTCTCCTAGGCATTGTTGCTTTGCCATGTAATTAAAGAGAAACAAATGACTAATTTTGTTTTTTTTTTCTAATTTCTTCTGGCTGCCCAAACCAAAATCATGATTCAGTGATGTGGGAAGTTATGATTTAATTATTATGTGCATTCTACCACTTCTGTACTTTGTATTCTAAATGATATTTTCTCTGTCTGTCTGTTCTCATAAACTGACAGACTATAAACAAATAAGAACATACTTTTCCGCCTCTTCCCTTGGAGTCCATTCAGTGTGTACTTACCTTGTTTGCATTTTGTTTTCTTTGCCCAGGGCAAGTACATTGTCTGTTTTGATCCCCTGGATGGCTCGTCCAACATTGACTGCCTTGTGTCCATTGGAACCATCTTTGGTGTTTACAAAAAGGTAAAGCGTAGTGTATAAAGAAAGCCTCTGCTTCTGATGAGGAAGTGAGTGTGGAGAAGCAAGCTGTGCGGCTTGAATATATTCTCAGCAAAAGTCCCATTGCCCTGCATATGGGACTTAGCAGATCCACAAAACTGCTAAGATATGGCAATAAAACGCTGGTGGACAAAGAGACCAGGCCGCTCATTCAGCTCTCTCTCTCTCTCTCTCTCTCTCTCTCTCTCTCTCTCTCACACACACACACACACACACACACACAAGGAAATTGAGGTTTAAAACATGCTAAGGCAGATGTAGTGACAACCGCCCCAATCTAGCCCAACCTGCCTTCATGGCTTTCTTCCTTAAGGTAAAGGCTGTTTAAAAACGTTCTCTTCATACAATAAATGAAACAAAACCAAGCAAGTCTTTTCCCACTTGACCGTTCACCTCTCTCTAGTCTAGTCTTCCTCTAGTAATTGGCAGTATTCTTTTTTTTTTTTTTTTTTTAAAGTATCTGGTTTCTATAACTATGAATGGAACTTGAAAAAGAATGGTTATTTGCCCTTGTGAGGGAAAGGCCTTGGCAGTGGTCACACCCATCCCTATCCTACTTTCCCCTCCAACACCTCAAGTCTCCCAAACGATGGTGTCCCTTTATGGGGTGACATGGAATGTTAAACACCTGTGGCATTTGTGGCCTCAGCGGGAGGGGAAGGAAGGCAATGAATGAGCAGTGAGTGCTGGATTTGCCCAGTCCCTTATCCCTGGCCATGCCGGGCAGCGGTGAGGGCATGAGCCGGACATCCAGGGGAGAGGTGTTCATCGCTCTGAGTGTTCAGGAGGAAAGGCAGTCGGGAAGGGTTAGGCTTGGCCAGGCCAGGAACCTCTGCCCCAGAGGTTCTTTTGAGTATTGGAACATCTCAGAGAAGTGGTCGGATTCCTCATTTCAAGGGCGGGGAAGAGTGTAAGAATGCTGGGTGCCTTAGTTCCGGGAGTGTCGCGGGAATGCTGGGTGCTGGGTATGGTGAATCTGGGGGGGGGCTCTCCAGGGTGGAGAGCTGTCTCTGTGAAGTCTTAGGGCAAGGAAGGGGAGATAGCTAGAGGCCTGCGCCCCTTCTTTGTATCACTGGCTTCCAGGGAAGAAGGTTACTGTTAAAATGACCCTGACAAGTAATCCACACTGACAAAGGTCATTCCTTTTTAGTGGCACATGGGCCAAATCTGCCATTTAGGGAAACCAACTTAAAAAAAAAAGAAAACTTTTTGTGTTTTCTTTCTCACTGACTTCTCAGCCTCTGGGGGCCTTCTTTCTCAGGTTCTGTGAGGCCAGCTTTAAAACGTGCCTCTTACTCTGGGGTTGCTGGGGGGGGGGGTGGTGGCGGGGAGGAACATCAGCAGCATCTGGCCTGTCCTCTAATGACTCCAGAGAGATACCACAGACTACATTTCTGGGAATTTCTTTGATGTGGGAGTAACCGACCACAGGGCGGCTCAGAGAGTGTGTGTTTCGATTGACTGATGGAAGTGCGCAGAATCAATTTCCCCAAGGGAGAGAGGTCCAGCCCTGCAGCCTTGTGCTAATTTGTTTAAATAAAGATGGGAAAGGCAGGTGAAGACACTGGTGCCTGTAATCCGGTTACATTAGTGGGGCTGGAAAGAAGGAGATGCTGCTTTTTGGGAGCGATAATTGAGAGATGAGGGAGGGAACATGGAATTAGGGAGATGTTGACTGGAAAGAAGGATCCGGAGCCAGGAAGCTGGGGGGTCTTTCAGGAAGGCTGCTGTAGTGATACGATCAGACGGCTACTTTTGTGCAGAGGGAAGCAACCTCTGGGATGCTTTCCCCAGCAGGTGGTTATTAGCCTGTGGGCCGGGACCATTTTGAGGGTCGCATACTGGATATTTTGCATACCAGGCGCTCACATTAGGATTCATAACAGTAGGAAAATTCCAGTTAAGTTACAATGAAAATCCTTTTATGGTTGGGGTCACCACGGCATGAGGAACTGTGCTGAGGGGGTAACGGCATGAGGAAGTTTGAGAACCACTGTATTAGAGCAATACCCGGCTGTGCATCCATCCTTTCGGTGGCTCAACTGAAAAAAAAAAAAAAAAAAAAAAAAAAAAAAAAAAGACTACAAACCAAAATGAAAACTTTTTTATTTCCCCTCTTGCTTTTAGAAAACTACCCATGAGCCTTCTGAGAAGGATGCTCTGCAGCCAGGCCGGAACCTGGTGGCGGCTGGCTATGCGCTCTATGGCAGTGCCACCATGTTGGTCCTTGCCTTGGATTCTGGCGTCAACTGCTTCATGCTGGACCCGGTGAGACATTTCCCGGGTTGGGTGCTTGGCTAGTAGTAAGTAGCTTTGAACTTGTACATGTGGTGTGTGTGTGTGTGTGTGTGTGTGTGTGTGTGTATGTGTGTGTGTGTGTTGGTGTGTGTGTGTGTGTGTTGGTGTGTGTGTTCCAAGCATGTAATGTTCAGGGAAGTCAGCAGAGGGTGTTAGGATTCCCTGGAGCTGGAGTTACAGGTGGCTCTGAGCTGTCCAACATGGGTGCTGCCAAACCTATCCTGAGTTCTCTGGGAGAGCAGCAAGTGCCCAACTGTCTGTCTCTCCAGCCTCCCCAGCCTTTTTTTTTTCTTTCCAAACAACAACAACAACAACATCAAACCACACATACAAAGGTACAGAACACAGCATGGTGTCCCCTGTGAGAGGCAGTTCGCTCTCAGTGTGTGGGGTGTGGCAAGCTGCTGTAAATCAGAACACAGGCTACCTTTGATCCTTAACACAACTGTGCTTTCACCGCCCTTGGGAGCACTGGCGCTTAATAAATAATCTGAGACTGAAGGAGAGGGCAGGTCAAACATCTCTGCCTGAGGCCCCGGGGGAAATAAATAGGGCAGCTTCTGAAAGCAGTGGTGTTTGCTGAAGTTGCCACTTGTCCAGTTGTTCCCAGGAGCTCCTGGTGACGTGCCCTCTCTGTTACTTTTTTTTTTTTTGAGTTGATAGACATACAGAAAAAAAAAAAAAAAAATCAAGTCTCTTGATTGCAGATGTGCTTCTGGAGGGGTGGGCTTCTGGGTACTGGGGAACCTCCCTCCCTCCCTCCCTCCCTCCCTCCCTCCCTCCCTCCCTCCCTCCCTCTCTCCCTCCCTCTGTTCTGTTCTGTTCCTGAACCACTGAGTTTAAATAGGGTTGCTTGTATGGGCATGGGCAAGGGCTATATCTAGAGGCATGAGCAACCTATCAATGACTGTGACAGAGAGGAAAATCGTAGCCTCCTTCCTAGGAACCACTAACTGACAATGGCCCTTCAGGGAGGGTGTGGCCTTGCGAGCCCCTTCCCTAGCTATGATTTTGGAGGCAGGGCCTCACAATGTAGCCCAGGTTGACCTTAAACTCCTAATCCTCCTGCCTCAGCCTCTTTAGTAATGAGATTTAGGGTTAGTACTCACCCCCCCCCCCCAGTGTCAGGCCTTGTAAAGCTTTCTTTCCTGTTTTATGAAAGTCATTAGCGCTCTGAAACCGTGGCATCCTTTTACCCTGCTCCATCCTCCTCATCGCTAGAGCCTTTGGCTGCAGTCACGGTGCCTTGGGACGAGGTGTGGTCACAGGCCATGCTTTGCTCATGCCTGGGGGAGCTTGCTGGTCATCCGTCTACCTTTCTCCCTTGTTTCAAAGGCCATCGGAGAATTCATTCTGGTGGACAAGGATGTGAAGATCAAGAAGAGAGGTAACATCTACAGCCTTAATGAGGGCTACGCCAAGGACTTTGACCCTGCCATCGCTGAGTATGTCCAAAGGAAAAAGTTCCCTCCAGTGAGTGAGTAGGCAGATGGGACTGGGGTAGTGTTCAGCTTTGCGGGGAGCGTGTCCTTAAGAGGAAAAGAGACATTTGGCGTTGAGAAGGGCCCGGACTTCATCTGGGACTCTTGCTTTATGAGTGAATCTACTGATGTGTGAATTATCCTGGAGATGAAAGGAGAGAGAGGTAGAAACCACTGAAACTAGGTACTGGGGCCGGAGTGCTTGCTTGGAGACACCCAAAATTTGAGTAGCATTTAGTCTTTATCTCTAAGCATAATCTGGATAACGAAGTCAACCAGATGAGCCCCTTTACAATAATAATGCATTTGTATTTCTTGGGATCCCTCTCCCCCAAACATCTACCACATGAGGTCTGTACCTTCACGCCTGTGTCCTTGACGGATCAGGATGGTCAGTGTCGGGCAAGGGAGATGGAAAACTCAATGGTTAAATCGCTTGCTTCACAAGCATGGGGACTGGGGATTGGTCCCCCAGGTCCAGCTTACAGGCAGCGTGGGGAGGCAGAGAAGGGATCTCCTGAGCAAGCAGTAAGCTGGGACAGGCAAATCAGAAGCTCTGAGTCCATGTGAAAGGCCGGGTCTCAATATGTAAGGTGAAGAGTGGTGGAGGAAGACATCAACCTGTAGTTTCTCCATGCACATACATTCCCACAAAACCATGCACATATAAACATGTGCTCATACCTGCATACATGCCGTCAAGCACACACACACACACACACACACACACACACATACACACACACACACACACTGGACAGTGTCTTCTCCGGTATCTCACTACAGAGGTTACTAGTTAGTGAATATGAGGAGGAAGGATGGCTGGTTGTCCAGGTTCTCTATAGGGGTGTTTGATTTTTGCTGCCCTTTTCTGGAGATGAAGCCCACATGTTACCATAGCATCCAGAGTCCTCAAAGTTGGCCCCAGGATTTCTCTCTAGCATGGTTTTCTCTCCTTCTCCATGCACAATCCCTGCGCACAGCACATGCCTGCCAGCCAGCACTTATCTCTGTGTACCGAGTCCTCTCCCTCAAAACATATACCCAGTTCTTTAGCTTGACAGAATGTTTGTCACCCTTCAAGTTAAGACTTCATATTTGCCTGCTCCAACTTCATAGCAGAACCAACTTCTGGAGAAGATATCCAAGAGGTTGTGTCCCATGACTTCCCTTCTTTTCCAGAATGAGGTTGTCTTAGTGTTCACTATTGCCGGGAAGAGACGCCATGCCCATGGCAACTGTCATGAAGAAAACGTTTAACTGGGGGGGGGGGGACTTGCTTACAGTTCTGAGGTCCAGTTCACCGTAGCGGGGAGCACGGCAGCGTGCAGACAGACGTGGTGCTGGAGAAGGAGCCGAGTTTATCTTGTAGGCAGCTAGAAGTTGACCGACTGTCACACTGAGTGAAGCTTGAGGAAAAAGGCCTCAAAGCCCGCCCCCACAGCGACGCACTTCCCACAGATTAAAGGTGTGCCCTCCAGCCTCAAGGTCTGGATTAAAAGTGTGCATCATCCAGCCTCCTCCAACAAGACCACACTTCCTCCCACAAGGCTACACCTCCTAATAGTACCACTCCCCTTGAGTTAATGGGGGCCAAATACATCCAACCCACCGCAGGGATTTTCATTTCGTGTCTCAGCTCAGCTCCAGGTGAGCATTTTGTATGAAACCTGGTGCATAACTGTGGAATGGAATAAACATCAGGGACACTATGGATACACCCACCCTTTATCTTCCACAGCTCTAATCTTTTGCTGTTCTTAACCTTGTAGGATAATTCCGCTCCCTACGGTGCCCGGTATGTGGGGTCCATGGTGGCCGATGTTCACCGAACTCTGGTGTACGGAGGCATCTTTTTGTACCCTGCCAACAAGAAAAGCCCCAGTGGAAAGGTACTTACACCTCCAAGGGAGTCAGCAAGAAGCCTGGGGGGGAGGTGCGGCGTGGGGGTTTGTTTCCAGCCTGAGGGATCTGACTTCATTAGGTAGAAAGGTCACAGAGCTGATGAACTCTCCTGTGGTTGCTAAAATGTCTGTGGCAGTCTCTAGCTCTGAGGCAAGGCCCAGACTGTATCAACTCAATGTGAAAATGTCTCATGAGGGCCCTTCCAAAGCTATGGCGAAAGAGAATTAATGGAACTCCAGCAGGGGACTAAAAGCGCTCAGAGCTTCCGGCGGCGGAGGGGGGGGGGCGTGGAGGTGGGGGTGGGTGGGCTTGGCTTGCATAGAATGGGTTCCATTCATAGAGGGAAATGAAATAGTCCTGTCTCATTACCGGAATAGCGAATCAAATATGCACTGCAGAGAGAGGTCTGCTTTGATGGCTCCCAAAGGCATAAACGTAGATGTAGCTAATGAGCTTGGCATTTGCTACTTGGAAAGTGATGCTGTCTGATGAGGGGCAAGGCTGTAGAGAAACGCAGAGCTTCCGGGTAGATTTCTTTTTTTCCCACTGGCTGCATCAGGGCTATGTTACGGCCTGCTCTCCAGCAAGACACAGGGCTGGTGTGCCTTCTAATGCTGGCTAGGGGACATCCTTTACTTCTCATGCAAGGCGACAGACAAAATGCTTCCTTTTCAGATCTTCTGACCTCTTCCTCAGCCCCCCCCACGTTTTTTGTGACAGTCTCGTGTGAGCCAGACTGTGTAGCTAAGGGTAACTTTGAACTCCTGATCCTCCTCTGCTCACCTTGCCAAGGCTGAGTGGTAAGAACCACTATGCTGGGTTTGTGTGTGCCGGACAAGCACTCTTGGCAACCGAGTCACACCCCCCAGCACCTCTTTTTATGTGAAAGCAGAATCAGGATCCGGGGCTGTGGGTCTGACGGGTCTGCTCATGCTCACCATATCTGCTTCTCGGAGAGGGCGGCTCTTTGTTCTTTGCTCACCTGTCTTGCTACACTGTAGCGGTCCAGAGCTACTCAGCCAGCAGCTTGGCGAACTGCACTTCTCTCAAGCCAAGCACTTTCTTTCTCTTTGACAGCAATGTGGAGGTGACTCCTCCTTTTTTAAGTTCTCGAGTCTGGCCCCGATTCCCATATGGAAACAGAGTCAGGAAATACTAGCGCGTCTGTCTGCTTCACAGGCCAACTGCATGCAAATGTGCTCAATGATAATAATAACAGTAATAATAATAATAAATATAATAATATCCAAAGGCAAACACCAAGATATGTGGCAGACAAAATCCCCAGCCCTGGAGCATTAGGAGGCTTTCAAGAGGAAGGCACAGGGCGGCGGATAATGGTGCACTGTTTGGAGGGGCCAGTCTGCCCTCCAGATGTCTGCAGCCAGACACCACTGTGGATTTTAAAAATCCCTTTAGAACAGACAGAGCTCCGTCCAACACACATGGAACCACTCATTAAGTCTAGTCTCTGGCTGCAAAGAGTTGGGAACTGTTAGTATTGCCAAAATATTACTCTGTTCCAAATCCAGGTGGTCTGCCTCATATTTACGACAGGTGGCTGGCTAGCTCTAGCTCCATGAATGGTTTTATTCAACCAAATAGCTAATGGTTTTGTCTCAGATGCATTGTGGGGCATGAGGGAACTTTCCTAATTGAGAAGGAGAGAGGAAAAGAGAGGGAGGGAGGGAGGGATGGAAAGAGGGAGAGGGAGAGGGAGGGAGAGAGAGAGAGAGAGAGAGAGAGAGAGAGAGAGAGAGAGAGAGAGAGAATAGGTTACCATGGAAACTCCCACAGCTCTGCAGAGTTTTACAACACAACAAGTTCCCAAGCTCCCCCAGCCTGATGGTAACACCAGGTGGCTGAAGACCTTGGTCTCTGCTCTTGTTTTCCAGCTGAGGCTCCTGTATGAGTGCAATCCCATGGCTTTTGTAATGGAGAAGGCAGGAGGAATTGCCACCACAGGGAAGGAAAATATATTGGACATCATTCCCACTGATATCCATCAGAGGGCGCCAGTCATCATGGGGTCCCCCGAAGATGTAAATGAATTCCTGGAGCTCTACAAGAAGGAACAGGTCAAATGAAGGCTGTCTTTGCCCTTTCCACCGAAGCAGAGCCTTGCATCTGGACCTTCAACCTCAAGCGATACTATGCCATTCTGACTGTGTGCTGTATATTCCTAGACAATAGACCTAACAGTGTGGGTTCCAGTGCTTTGCGATGCCCTAGACTGCCTCATCCACATGCTATAACACCATCACAACAGGTAATATGTGCTTTGAGCACTTGAATAAGAAATAAACACATTCTTCCTTTATAATTTTTCTCTGTGCTTTGTGTCAACAGAACATTAGACAAGTCATTTAATCCCCACAACAGCCGCATACGTGTAACACCATGCTGGTTCCATTTGATTCATAATAAAATGGAGAACTGAGTGTTGATGAGACCCGCTGAAGGTCTCCAGCCCGTGAGTGGTAGGCAGGGCTGGGAGATGAACACGGGCATCCTGGCCACTGACCCGAGTTAACGTCACTTCTTACATTTGCTGTCCCGCTCAGTTCTAGGTGTTTCTTCCCTTCTATAAATCAGCAAGTGTCCAGCTTCTCAGTCTCCTGCAGATGTCTATAATCATTCAAGAAAAGTGATAGTTTATGTTACTATTCAACAGTGCTTTTTTAATGCAAGGGTGGCATCTAACAACACAGCTATATAATCTCTAGGGAGGGTCTAGTGGTCATAATGAAAACGAATGACTATAAGAACTAAATTTAAGGAAACAGACCGCATGCCAAGTAGGTACTTTTTGGATCAAGGGGGCTTTCCCAAGAAGACCTGTCACAGCTGGTCCTGTGCAGATGGAGCCTAGTGAGAAATAACAGCAGTTTGGCACACATTCTACTCTGCACATGGTTCATACCTTTCTGGATCAGAAGTTCAAGATCATGGTAAGTTATATCAGGTGTTAGGAACCCTGGACCCTGTGGGATGAGCTGTCTCTCTGTGTAAAATGCTCCAATAATTCCCTGCTCTTCCAACAGGAAACTCGGTTCAATCACAAGCCTTGAATCCGCTTTCGTTTGCAGACCAGACAGCCTGGTGTCTTTTGATTGAGATGTGGGCTCAGTTAACGGAGTGCTCTCCAAGAATGCTTTCTTGTATCTTCTGAGTACATCCAAGTTTTTTCTCTGTGTGTAGCCCTGAGCCAGGAACAGCATCCAGAGCAATAGCAACACAAACATCAGCTCTCCTCTGGTCAGCCCTGGAAGATGACCAATCAGCCTTAGATTGGAGGATGATCAATCACTAGTAGACTCGTCCCATCTAGGGCGCTGTTCTTGGACAGACGAGGTGATGGGAAACACTCATCTCATAAAAATGAATGAGACTTAGTCTCTACAGAGTGGTCTCGGCCCGGAGTCGGGGATCCTTTTACTTTAAAACACACAGTAGGCCTCCAGGTCTCTCTGCCAACCCCTTTAGTATTAGCAGAAGTAGGAAGTATCATGTCTCCATTTCCCACTCACAGGTCTTGGTTTGTTCTCAGAGCTTTCGTAGCTATCTATGTCTCTCACCTTCCACCTTAACTCACACAGAAAGCCAGCAGAGGGTGCATCGCGAGAGGGAACCCTTCAGATGCGACTGGAAGCCATGCCTGCTTTGGCATTGCCAACGAAGGCAGGTTACACACAGGTTATAGCAACGGGCATTGGATGGGGCAGGTCAGAAGACACAGACATGGGAGGTCCACTTTAGCACCATTAGTCTCAAAACGCTTGGAGTCAGTGCAACCCAATTCTCAGTGGTTCTCTCAGAAGACACGTTTACACTCAAATCTCCAGGACCAGCACATGCGACCTCATTTGATTGAATAAAGTGTCTCCGGAGATGTGACGAAGCTTAAGATTTTGAGATGAGCCCATCTCAGACCCAGTGGGTGGGTTCTAAATGCAGCAAGTGTCTTCACAAGACCACAGAGGAAAAGACCATGTCTATAGTCAGTTATCTAAAGGAACAAGACTGATAGATTGGGTACATGTGTGAACACAGACACACACACACACACAGAGGCAGACACAGAGTCATTTATTAGAGAGTCTTACAGGCTGTCTGAGTCTGAGTAGTTCAACAATGGCTGTTTCCAATAGAAGGGCTAAAGAATGAGTTGTTCTGTTCGTGAGACTGCATGTCTCAGCAGTCCCAATCTGGTGCTGGAATCCCAGGGAAGTCCTAGAGAGCTGCCAGTTTCCAGTCCACGTTGGAATCCCTAAGAAGTTTGTTCTAACCTCAGCAAAGGAATGGCCCAGCGGGATAGACGAACTTGCCAGTGAGAATGAGGGCAATCCGGCCAACAGCAGAAACTTTCCTTCTTACCTGTCCCTTTGTGTGGGCTGCCACCAGAAGGTGTGACCCAGATATTTGGTGGTGGTTCTGGCCGCAAAGGATTCAGATTTAGGGCGGGCCTCCCACCTTAAATGATCCCACCAAGAAAAATCCCTCCCAGGTGTGCCCACACGCTTGGAACTTAGTTAATTCCAGATGTAGTCAACAACCATGATTAGCCAGCCATCTTTCCATAAGACAGTGGAGACAGAGATCAGAGTGATGTCACAAGCCATGGCAACTGAGGCGTGCATCAGAAGCCAGAGGAGACAAGAAGAAATCTTGCCCAGAGCTTCCAGAGGAAGCATGGCTTTGTTGCCACCTGAATTCTGGGCTGTTTTGGCTTCTAAAATGGTATTAAAAAAATTCCTGGGTTTTTGGGTGTGTTTTGTGCACCAATACATGTTTTTGTGTGTGTGCACATTTGTGTGAGTGCATGTACATGTGGTATGCACACACATGAAGGCCAGAGAGAGGTTGGTGTTGGGTATCCTCCTCCACTGAACCTAGAACTCACGACTGTTAGGGAGTCCCTGGAATAATCCTGCCTTTGTCTCTTAAGTGATGGGACTGCAGGGTTATGCTAGCATTTCTGGCTTTGACGTGGTTGCTGAGGTTGGAACTCAGGTCCTCATGCTGGCATTCGGCATGCCAATCACTTTACTGACCCATTACTGAGCCATCTCCTCAGCCAAACATTTTTTTTTTTTTGTAACCTGGTTTGTGACTTTTTATGGCAGGCCTAGGAGATGTGTACCCATCATGCATCACAAAAGCCCCTGCATGACAGCCCAGAGCACCCCTCCTCTGTGTGGCCATCCTCTCGACAGGGCACCTTTTTATCGGGATGCCATGAGGCGGAGAGGGTCCCCTGTGACTCTACCAGCTGTAATGGGGGAGGGTGGAGGTGGCTGCGAACTCCCTGTGCTGGGAGTTCTAGGGACTGGGCGAGAAAGAAATTCGTCCACAGTGACCGAAGTGCTCCATGTCAGTGCTAGTACATTGGGTGCAGCAGGGTGTGAAGTCAGGTCGGGCCATCTGTGTGGGTCTTGCAGGAAAATGGTGCACGTTAACAGCGTCAGTGGTCCTGAATTGCCTGTAGGGGGCAGCTGTCGCCCATCTCATCTTCCCGGGCGACCTTTGCATCTAGTTGGGAGACTCCTCACAGACTGAGCGGGTATCCCAAAGGCGCAAGTGCAGGGGCGCTGGGCTTCCACGATGAAATTGTGTTGGGAATCATGTGACAGGATTAGGCAGAGCAGTGTTGGTAACGGGAAAGGTCCTCAGCAACACTCCAGGGACATATTTCTAGGTCCAGGTCTCCAGGTGGATAATGGGACAAGACTGCCTGGTCCAGGGTCCATTTGTCCTGATCCACTTAGACTTGCGTCTTTCAGGGAACACAACCAGGTCGCCAGTAACTCGGTCACTAATGTGTCAGCTGTCTCCCAGCCTCTGCTCTTTAAGTTTCAACTCTGTCACATGCACCAAAAAAAGAAAAAAAAAAAAAAAAAACAAACTTAAAAAAACCACCTTTGGCATTTGCAAAGGTCAGCAGCTGCCATCCCAGGCCATGCAGGCAACTTGAACTCCTACCGCTTAGATAGAGCTGTGTGCACAGGCCAGAACTTGATATTAGGTATCTTCCTTTATTTTTGGCACAGGGTCTATCACTGAACCCAGAGCTTACACACCATTGCTCCTGTTTCCTCCCCAGAGCTGGGATCACAGGTGTACTCCAACGTGCCTGGTTTTTAACATAGGTGCCCAGAACTCCAAACTCAGGTCCTCAGGCTTGTGTGGCATGCACTTTACCAATCAATCCAATCATCCAGCCATCCCTCCAGCCGCAGAATGGGACTTTTTAAAGGGACCTTTGACTACTTTGAAAGGGTGCCACAGCCACAGACTGGAAAAATCCACAGTCTTGGGGGAGGGGGGGAGACACGTACAAATCACTCAGAATTTTCAACGACTTGTAGCTAAACACAGTTTAATGAAATAATCACCAAGGGAAGGAGTAAAATTTTAGGGCAATGTACAAGTCCTCAGTTTTGTTGATTTATTTAACTGATATAGAGTCTTACCAGACTTGGCATTCTCCAAACTCAGCTCTCGTAGGTAGAGATAATTGACATTATTTTATGTATGCTTATAATTCTACGTATACTAAAAAGCTGTAATGTCACAGGTTTCTAAGACACTGAGCCTGGCACCAGGTCCACCAGCTGATTTTTAATGCTTACAGGCACTCTACAAGTTGTTATCCGAATTCACGAGGAAACCGAAGCTTCAAGAGTTTAGTAAATAAACACTCCTAAACTTAGTAGGTAGCCAGCTCAGGAGTCTGCAGTCAGAGAAATGCTACCAGCTCTAAGCACAGTTCGTTCGAGGGCACTTCAGGAAGGTGTTCCTTTAAACATTTTTTATTAGGTTATTTTATGTGTCTGAGCGTTCTGCCACTTACATTCACCACCACTTACATGCTTGGTGCCCTTGGAAGTCAGAATAGACGTCGGATCGCCCAGGAACTGGAGTGACAGATGGTTGTGAGCCACCAAAGTGGGTGCTGGGAACCAGCCAGATCCCCTGCAAGAGCAGCCAGAGCTCCTCATCAGCACAGGCATCTCTCCAGCCCTGATGTTTCTTGTCAGATAGTGAAATTCTTCTTAAAATAAAAGAATCCAGATAAGCTGATAAATCAGCCCCGGGACCAGACACTTTGCTAGGAACGTATTTACCTTCCAGATTTGGGTACCTCCCACGAACATCCCTCTTGTCATACAACATTCTTAGTGGAGATAAACCTGAAAGATTACCGGAGTCCGGTCTTCCTGGGATTGCCATTGGTTTGTTACCGTGACCTATGCCCTAGATAAGGTATCTGCCAATCTGCTGAGAATCACAACGAGGCCCCGCGGCAGCTATCTGCAGAGGACACTTTCATGTCCACATAAGAAGATTTTGTGGCTCATTTTTATTAGCTGGTTTTCTCTCCTCTCGCCTGCGGCTGAGCGTGGCTTCTTGGTATCCTCAAAGTCAGGAAGGAAGGAGCACGAATAGAGAATGAGGCAGCCCTTCCCAGCAGTGCTGTTCTATTTACAACCTGCTTATTGCACCCTGGCAGCTGCCACCATCAGGGAGGATGGGGAAGTTTCCTTGAGGGCTTGTCCAGCTATCTGAGTCACATGGCTGGGGCCCTTTCCCCTTGCGTCCTGGCACAGTCAGTGCGGGTGTTTCTTCAGTGTGCAGGCTGTGAGGCTGCGGCCCCGAGAAAGCGAGCATTCCTGCGAGGAAGAAAGAAGGCTTTGAGGTCTCACCCGCCACAATGACGGACAGAAGCCCCTTTGAGACAGACATGCTCACCCTGACCCGCTACGTTATGGAGAAAGGGAGACAGGCAAAAGGGACCGGGGAGCTCACACAGCTGCTCAACTCGATGCTGACTGCCATCAAAGCCATCTCCTCGGCTGTGCGCAAGGCGGGCCTGGCTAACCTGTGAGTCCTGGAGAGCATGCGCAGGCACACACAGCTGCCCAGAGCCTCAGGTCCCGGCCAGGGCGTGGGAGCCACAGGTGCTTGTGGTAGAAACTGGGTCCAAAGCTAATTTGTCTCTTGTGCCCCAAGGATATTGCACTTAAATCCTTTGTGTCTGCTTTGATAAGGCAGCCTTTGGCCTATTTTTCCAGGAAAGGTGTTCAGGGGAGGGAGTGGGGTGTGGGGTGTGTGTGGGGGTGTGGGGTGTGGGGTGCATAGCAGCCCACTACGGAGAAAAGTGAGCTTTTTTTCCGGTTACCTTTTATTATAATGGTAACCCAGTGACTAGTTGCCTCAAAACCTATATTGAATTCTCATGACTTATATTTGCACACACAGATTTTTACTGGGACTCTGAAACGTGTTTGATGTCATTTTCCTGTACAAGTGTTTGGTTGTCATGGCCTCTGCCCGTAGGGTGGGGGTCGGGTTAGAAACCACAGGTTTACAGGGCTCTGGACATCATGGAAGGTGCCTTTCCCCCCCCTTCACCTTCACGTGGTTTGTGGGAATCCGGACATGCTGGGCTGGGGCAGGCAGAGCTGAGCCATTGGTTCCGTTTTTTTGCAGAAGGAGGCCTGGTTCACGCTGGAGCTGCTGGTGGCCACAGCCAGGGGTCTGGTTTTAAGCTAGGATGAAATCACCTTCCTTCAGACTTCTGTTTCGATTGCAGTAATTCCAGTGAAGGCCCTGTTGGAAGTTGAAGGGACTTACATGTTTTTTTTTTTTTTTTTGTTGTTGTTGTTTTGTTTTTTTTTTTGGATGGGTGGGCGGAAACATCTGCTCCTGAAAGAAGAGCCAACAAATTACACCCATATTTAGTCTTAACAGTGTGTGCGGTACCTTTTAACCCCAAGCTGTGACAGCATTAGTATCATAAATTCCATCATAAAACCATTAAAGGGCTTATTATATGTGGTGGGACCCACATGGAAGATGCTTATCTACTGGGTTCCCTTAACTCTATTATTAGCTCGTTTGGCAGAATGGTCAAGCTCTGCCTTTAAGAACACGCTTCCAGAGTGTGAGGTGCCTACACGTGTGACAATCATCCTTGAGTGACATTAGATAGCATCTTTGCTGCTCCTTCGTCCCAGCTCTGCTATAATTAAGGTGGTTGCCTGTGACCAGGCAGGATGTTTGCCCACAGATTTACCTCTCCTCTGTATGGGTCTCAGCTCCATGGCTGCTATCTTGGCAGGAGCCCTTATGTACCTGCTGCAACCTGCTTTTCAGTGCTCCAGGGTCCTACCAGCGTCTTAGGGACTAGATTTTGTGTGTGTGTGTGTGTGTGTGTGTTTTCTTAAACTTGGTTTTCCTTACCTTGTGGCTGTGAACAATGGTTTATTATTGCTAAGACCTGCACGTTTGTGAACTGGGGAGGTACTAATTGCCCTAACTCACAGGGTTGTAGCAAGGGTTAGTAAGTTACTGTGATGACAGCCTGTGGTAAATACTCAAGAACCAAGACCAGACTGGAAGGCTATATGATTATTGACCACTAGGTGGCAGGCACCACCCTAGAAATGGTGTCAGACTGGACCCCTGGACCTGCTCCTCACAGAGGAGAAAACCTACCCCCTCACACAGAAAGTAGCCACAGCTGATGATGAGATGGGACTTCGGTGTCCTGGCACCGTCCCACACAGGTGTGTCCAGCCTTTTGGTGTTGGGACAGCATAGTGTGGTTTACACATGTGTTGGGCTGTGCTCACAGCTATCCTAGGATGCACATGGCCCATGGGCTGCAGGCTGGGATATTTGCCCATCTCTTAATTTTCCAGCAGCAGCTGCCTCAGGACTCATTGTTACACAAGAGGCTGTGATCCTGATGCAAAGTAACCCAACTTTATTGTTACTGTTGTTATTGGCTTGCAGAGTTGTTTCCCAAGGCTCATCACACCGTGATTCATCAAATCAGTCAGGAGGGGGAGGGAATGCATATATCATAGTTAGGGTCCATCGGTGGTTCTCAACTCCAGCCACCTATCTGCTCACATCGCCTGAGGATTTCTTCAGCAAATAAGTGAAATTAAAATAGAGAGAACAGGGTAAATGCCCCCCCCTTTCTCCATAGTGCAGCAAACGTTTATTGTGCACAGACTATGGAAAGGCAGATAGGAGCATGTGGCTCTTAGCAAGTAGGCGATACATAAGGAAGTCTTCCACCATTAGGGTGCCACAGAGGTGTGCCTGGTACATAGACAGGACATAGAGGCTTCTTAAGGTGCTTAGGAAGATGAGTAGCGAGCATTATACCTTGGGGATGGCGTGGGGCTCACAGTCTCACTGCGGGAGAGGGAAGTGGAGATGCTGAGGCTGTTCTAACAGGATGGTCTAACGTGTCTGACATCCACTCTGAGTGTGGGTTAGCTAGCCCCCTGTTGTGATAAATACCACAATCAAAAGCAACTTGGAGGAGGAGAGGGTTTATCTCATCTTACATACTGGTCTATCATCGAGCAGGAACTCAGGGGAGGAATCTTACGGCAGGAGCTGAAGCAGAAATCAGAGGAATGCTGTTTCCTGGCTCGCTCTTTGTGGCTTGCTCAGCCTGTTTTTATAGAATCCTGTTCAGGGGTGACACCATACACAGCTGTCTGAGCCCTCCTACCAGTCAGTAACAAAGAAAACGCCCAGTGGACATTAGCAGAGGGCAATCTCAGGAAGATAATTCCCCATTTGAGGTTCCTTCTCCCTAGGTGACTCTGGTTAGTTTTAAATTGACAGACTTAAAGTAGCATAGAGTGAGGTGAGGTTGAGGTTATTGGGAACACCCTGAAGGGTTTGAGGCACAAGAAGGGGATGTTTGTATATTGTTGTTCTAAAACGCCAGCCTCTATGGGTGTTTAAAGCTGGAGCTTGACGTTCCAGTGTAGAAAAGCTATGCCATCCTTCGTTATCACAATGTGTCTAATTTTAGGGGCTCTCCTACTGTCTCTAGCTGTGGAGGGGAGAGTCTACGTTTTGGTGAGGCCGAATCTAGTCAGTCTTCCCGGGAGACCAAGGAAATATGACAATGTCCCCAAGGTGTAAAGGAAGTAATGCTAAGTGTCATTTCTTTGAGTCCTAGCACACTCCCCACATATTTATAATTTGGAGATGGCAGCAACATGGAAGGAGGGTTAGGTGTGTTGTTGGTTTGGGATCTGATCTGGACACTTTTTAAAAAGCTTCATTTAATTGTTCCAGTTTTAAATCATGCCTTGTATAATCATACAGAGACCTAACTCTCTCCATTGTAATAGCGTTTCCATTTTTTTTTCCTTCTTTACTGGAGTGAAGCCTCCTTCAGTGACTTAATCCACCCTGTCTCCCCAGGTATGGAATCGCAGGGAGTGTGAACGTGACAGGAGATGAGGTGAAGAAACTGGACGTGCTATCCAATTCCCTGGTCATCAATATGCTCCAGTCCTCCTACAGCACCTGCGTCCTAGTCTCTGAAGAGAATAAAGAGGCAGTTATCACAGCCAAGGAGAAGAGGGTGTGTCCAGGGTGGGCTGCAATGCCCCACCTATCAGTAGACGGTGCTACCTGGCTGAGACTTGTTTTCTTGCCTAGTCTTTTTCTGGGATTTTTTCTTCCATTTGTTTTCTGGAAACAGGGTTTCTTTAGTTGGAAATCTTGTGTGCTCTATCCTTTGGGGTATGTGTCATCTAGTGCATCATTAAGTAGACCTTAGCTCCTTTGTGTTCTTTTTGGGGAAGAGTTAGCTATACAAGGCACACTCTGGTTGAGTCCCTCTCTATTTCTTATCTATGGCCTTCACTACACATGTCCTCAATAGGACTGTGATTCCTCCGCAGAGGAGGTAGCTCTTCCCCGGCCTGACAAAATAGACCAGCCCAGGGAACAATTCATGATGACCCCATGCTCTTGGCAGAGTTAGCCAGAGCATGGAGAGGTTTTACATTCGCCGAATGTCAACACAATAATTTATTAAACAGTGAAGTTTTCTTGTGGCCAACAATTTAGCCAGCGTTCAACCACAGTATCATTCTGGTTAGTTTCTGTCAAGTTGACCCAAACTAGAGTCACCTGGGAAGAGGGAGCCACAGTTGAGGAATTAACTCTGTCAGATTGGTTTTTGGTCACGTCTGTGAACATTTTGTTAATTTATTGTTGATTCGAGAGGGCTGCACCATTTCTGGGAAGGTGGTCCAGGATTGTATAAGAAATCAGGCTGAGCGTGCCATGAGAACTACAAGCCAGTAAGCAGCATTCCTACATGGTTTTGCTTCAGTCCCTGCCGTGGGCTCCTCCTGCCCGGGCTTCCTCTGATAATGAATTGTTATCTTGGAGGTGTAAATTAAAATCGTTTGGCCAGAAGTGTTTTATCACAGAAAAAGAGGAGCAAAAAAGGACTGTGCTCTGTGCTTACCTACTGGTCTTCGTCACACACATTGGGAATTGGGCTAAGGAGGGGTAGTAATTTCTTTGTAATTGGACGTTTATCTGAAAAGATAGAGTAAAGCCAAACTTATTAAGCCCTTTACCCCTGTTTGACACAACCCATGTGGCATCTGTTATCTTCAGCTTTAAATTTCAAATGTTATGGCCCTCACCCCTCTCCACTGTTATCTATCAGTCATGCATATTAGTTCTCCGAATGTGTTCTAACCTGCTTTCTATGCCTATGCTAGTAACACTCGAAGATCGGCCTGCCTAACATTCTTCTGTCTAATTCTCTGTGCGCCTGCTTTCCTTAATCCCATCTATGTGTATCATCAAACGTTAGCTTTGCCCACACCCTACCCACTCACCTGCCTAAGTTGTGTATACAGCACTTGCCATACCTTATGTGCATGTTTGCCTCTGTATTGTGTTTTTGAGTCTGAATATCAGTCCCACCGCCGGGGCATTTAGCAAGAGGTCTCTAGTATATTTTCCAGCACATACCAGAAAGACACACAGCAGATATCTGTTGAGCAATGGCTTTGGGGAACTTCACAATGGAGGGCTGATGGGTCCAAATGTCTTGTTAGTGTAGACATCAGTCAAATGTAGCTCTAACACACACACACACACACACACACACACACACACACACACAGTTGTGGTGATGGACAGGAATGCTGACTGGGTGTATTTCTCCTTGATTTAGGGGAAATATGTGGTTTGCTTTGACCCGCTGGATGGATCTTCAAACATTGATTGCCTGGCTTCCATTGGAACTATATTTGCTATCTACAGGAAGGTGAGTAGATAAGCTGACATCTTTCCAGATGGTTGCTAGACTGACAACTGAGCCTGTAGGCCTATCTTTTCCTTTACTCACTAGACACAACACTATAGTCAACTCCAGAATCATAGCAAACCCCTGCCTTGGGCTCTCCACTAGAAATCTCCATCTACTTTTTTCTAACATCTCCTGGGAGGGCAAAATGGCAGGACCGTCATGGGACCTTGTTTTGATTGTCTGGATGGAACAGAGATGCCAGGCACTGCATAGACTGAATATCCTTTATCTAAAATGCATGGGGACAGAAGTATTGGGGCTTCAGCTTTTGGAATATCTGCAAATATATAGTGAGTTGTTTTAGGGATGAACACAAAACTCATTTGTGTTTCTTATATTTTTCTTAACCATCACCTGCATGTAACTTTATACAATACATGTTTTAGTGCACCTGCAATTTGACTCAGGGCAGGCGTAGAATTTGCCTTGCATGGCCTCATGTTGGCATTTTAAAAGTTTCAGAGTTTAGAAGATGTTATTTATTTCTTTTTCCATGTTTTAAAATCTTACATACATTGGTGTTTTACCAGAAGGTATGTCTGGGCAAGGGTGTTGGGTTCCCTGGAACTGGAGTTACAGGCAGTTATGAGCTACCATATGGGTGCTGGGAATTGAACCTAGGTCTTGTGGAAGAACAGTGTTCTTAACCACTGAGCTATCTCTCTAGCCCTTATTTATTTATTTATTTTTTAAATTCATGATTTGGTAAACAGTTCTCGATAGCCTCGGACTTGCAATATTCTTGCCTTGTACCCCTGAATGCTGGGTGTATAGGCGTGTGCCACCATGAGCAATTGAGTAGGGACACTCTTATTAGGCATACATGCCCTCCACTTCTTGGTGAGTCTCAATGCTTACTATTAGTTTTATGTTGCTGCTGTGGTAATTTATCACCCTTTTGGAGGCTTGAAACACCTGTTGCTTATGTGTTACTAAATTAGAAGGTTTGGCATTGTTATCTGCTTAGGGCCCATAGACAAACCAGTCTGATCTCTTGAGTGTCTGGAAGCTGGGATGAGGAGTGGAGAGGATTTGCTTCTGGGTGAGTTTAGGCTGATGTCGGTTTAGGTTGATGGTGGGGTTCCGGTCCATTTTGTGGTAGGTTGGGGGTATTGCTCTTTTTGCTAGGTGTCTTTTCAGCTTCTAGAAGCTGCCTGTAACTTTTTGGCTTGTGACTTCTTCAGCTTCAAAGTTTACAATGGCTCCAAAGCTCTCAGAATCTCTACAATATCCCCTTCTTACCAATACCTCATTCTCCCTGACTCTAGCCATTGGAAGTCAAATGAGATCAACTTTTCACTTAATTAGACTGAACTAATATTATCAGCACAACCCAGGGTCATCTCCCTATTTTCAATCTATAACCCTGAAAATGATCTCCATAGGCAGTGGTACTTCTGGGAGGTGTGATCTTGTTGGAGGAAGTCTGTCATTGTGGAGGTGGGCATGTTACCATGTCTTACCATCATGATAATGGACTGACTATCTGAACTGTAAGTCATAAAATTAAATGTTTTCCTGATGAGAATTGCCATGGTCATGGTGTCTCTTCACAGCAATATAAACCTTAACTAAGACACCTGATCACTTAGGCAAAAATCTGTTTTGTTCTGTAATGCAACATACAGATTCTGGGGGTTAACATAGTCTTGGGGGCCATTCTGTCTACCCTACAAGCTTAAACAACAGAGGGACTCTTAAGGGTTTGTAAGGAGTAAGGTTTTTCTGCCCGCCGCTGGTCTTGTCCGGCCACCGCGCCAGCCCCAGTTAACACACAGAGACTTTGTATTTAATACAATGCTATTGGCCAGGTACTAGTTTCTTATCGGCTAACTCTGACTTAAGTATCAACCCATTTCTGTTAATCTATGTATTTCCACGTGGTCTCCTCTTACCCTCAGAGAGCCAGCTGGCGTCCTACTCTCTCCAGACTCCTCCTTCCTACTTCCTCTTTCCTCCTTCTCTCCTAGTCCCTCCTCTCTTGTTTTCCTATTGGCCAACAGTGCTTTATTTATTAACCAGTGTGAGAAACATATTTACAGAATGACATCTCCCATCAAGGGTTGGCCATAAATTCCACACCAGACTTCACAATCCAGACACCATTTATCTGTACTCCTGTAATGGACTCTCCACATGCTACATGTGCCTTGCTGGTCGTCCTTCTAGATTACAAACTCCCGAAGGAGCAGGAGACAATCACACAAGACAAGAATAGGATGATTTTTCAAGGTGAAGGAGCTTTGCTTCCAAGAAGAAAGGGAATATAAGGTACAGCTTGAAGAGAGACACCCAGTTGTGTCTTTTAGTGGCTTTCCATATTGTTTTCTTGGACATGAGTCTTCTCTGCATCACACCTTTGGTGCTTTCTATTGCTATGATAAAACATTGTCCAAAGCAACTTGGGAGGAAAGGGTTAATTTCATTTTATACTTTACAGTATATCATCAAGGGAATTTAAGATAGGAACTGAAGGTATTGTCTCTCCTCTGGCTTGCTCCACTGGCTTCCTTATATAACCCAGGCTTGCCTGTCCAGGGATGGTGCCTATCACAGTGGGCTGGGTCCTCCTCCATCAATTATCAGTCAAGAAAACTTCTCATAGACATGCCCACATGCAATCTGAAGGAGGCAGTTCTTCAACTGAGTTGACAACCACCACATCTGGGTTAGTCTTTGTCTCAGTCCCAGGGGTGGGTACAGATAACACTGCAACATTTTGACTGAGGAACAGTGGAAGACAGAGAAGGAGAGTTAACTCAGCTGAACTTACTGAGTCACTAAGGGCAGGATGTTCATTTAAATGGGTTTCCCCAACTCTGTCTTTGCAGCCAAATGTTTTTGAAACAAAGGAGTATTATTGCTCATGACATATAGCCATTATGCTCCAATTTAGATGGACTTGGATATAGGGATTTTATCTTAAGTTTTAAATAAAGTACAGGCTCTGATGATCAGTCCAAATAACCATGGTTATCCTCAAGTGATATTTCTAAAGAAAACGTGGGCTTCTGAGTTTCTATCCACCAAAATATTTCAGCACCACATGGTTCATGATGTGTGAGCTTTTTGATGACCGAGGCTCCAAACTCTTCATTTGTAACACTGAGACAAAAGCACTGTCTACCTTGCAGGGCAGCTGAGTAAAGATTGTTGTGATAGTTGGGGACATGGCTTGTGGCAGTTCCAAAGGGGGTGGCTTGAGCATCTTCTAGTGCTCCTGACAGGATGCAACCTTCAACCTTCAGACAGACCCAAGAACAGTCTTTGCTCCGGCTTGTTCTGAGCTGTTCTCCAGCTGGCCGCTCCCTCTGGATGCCTTTGCTGCGGCTTAGAATCGTCCGAGTCTGCCTCAGTTTGTCCACTGTACAGCATGCCAACTACTGAAATGAAGTTTTCAAAATATACAGTTTAAACATGAGGGTAGCTATATTATCTTCTCACAGTGGTCACCAAATCCATGGTTGCTTGGCCCCATGCACTTGGGCAGACATCATGGCGGTGGGAATATGAGCTGGAGGAGATTCTTCAGCTAATGGATGACAGAAATCATAGAGAGACATAGAGAGAGATGTGGTGATATCTTGCTTATACAGATAAAGCCTGTCTGAAGATCAGAGAATGGAGTTTTTCACTAGCTAACCATAGAGGTCTGGAGGTCTGTGCAGATGGACAGGAAGTGAGGTAGCTGGGCGGGAACGGGATATAAGCAGGGAGAAACAGGAACCGGCTCTCTTGTCTGCTGAGACGCTAAGGAGGTGAGGTGTGGCTGTGGCTCGCTACTTCTCCCTGATCTCTCGGCGTTTCCCCGCTACATCTGACTCCGGCTTCATATTATCCAGACCAACTGTAAGAGCTCCACTTACAGCCTCTAGGACCGAGTTTAGAGGTTTGGGATGGCAGAAAGACCGAGCAGGGGGAGCTTGGGTAACCCCTAGAAATCTTCCCTCCTTGTGTCTCTTCTGATAGTGTTTCTAGCAAAAATTCTGACTGCAAGCACATTAAGGAAGATGTGGCGGAGCTTCAGGTGCAACATTGTAAAATTTCCAGAATGTCCTCAAGCAGTTCCCATCGGCTGGGGACCACGCCTTTAATTAACGCAGGAACCTTTGGGGCTAAGGATGCTTCATACCCAAGTTGTAATGGCAGCCAAGTATATGGAGATGGGAGAACAGATCTCATTTTCACTTTCCAGGACAAGGATTGAAGATGCTTACTGCCTGAGATACATAAAAGCAACTGCATTCATGCGCAGAGGGTAAGGGCTGCAGAACTTTTGAGGTTTTCTCACTCCGAGGATGGCTTCCTTCTCTGTTTTCAGGAGCTCTGAGGTGCAGCCTCCGGTGAAAGGCTCTCTCCAGGCTCAATAACACACCATGCATTTTTTTTTCTTGTTTTCTGCAGACCACAGAGGATGAGCCTTCTGAGAAGGATGCCCTGCAGCCCGGTCGAAATATAGTGGCTGCAGGCTATGCACTCTACGGCAGCGCAACCGTGGTGGCTCTTTCCACAGGGCAAGGAGTGGATCTCTTCATGCTGGACCCGGTAGGTACTGAATACAGTAGCATTTGTTCCTGGGGATTCCATGAGATTCTTTGTTTGAATTCCTGTCCCCTGGGATAATTTTCTGTTCATTTTAAGTACTTGATTTTGGAGTTAGAGAACTATATCACGAAAAAACATGAAGGACCTCAGGTAATGTGTAACAGTTTTGCCTGTGAAGGTGGCCACACCCCTTTGTCCACGTGGGCCCACAGATCCTCAGAGAGGCCCTGTACTTGAACCTCTAGAATTATGGGTTCTGTTCCCTGACTGCCCAGCTGCCTCTCACTTCTGTGATGACCAAACACTTGAAGTATGGATAGTGTGAATGAGAACATGGAGTTTTATATTATTTAAAATATTAATTAAAATAGACCCGCATGACTAGAGGTTTCCTTTGTGGGCAGCGAGGGCTTGGAGCCCCCAGTGTGCAGGAACTCCATAGTAGGGAGAGTGATGGGTGGAAAATGGTCCCTTCCAGTGCTGTGTTACTCTTCACACTGTTTGTGAAGGCCCAACAGTAGGAAAGGAAGAGGCAAAGTCATTGAGCAGATGAAAATTGTGACAGCATAGTCCCGGCCAAAGGAAGAAAAAACTGGGTAAAGGCAGAACTTTGAAAAGGAAGGCTAAGCTTTTACGGGGTTTGCTGATTAAAACGAGAAAAAAATTAAAATTATTTCCTAATTAGAGACTTGCTCCTTTAAATGCGGGGAGCTTCACATACTAGGGCCAAGGTGCTTTGTTGAAGACACTAAGCTCTCATAAAAATTAAATAAATAAATAAATAAATAAATAAGACGACTGGAGACTGCTTCAGAGATTGTAGTATTCACGTTAGTGAGAAATTCAGCATTTGACTTTAATTCAAGTTGCCAAATATTTATTGAACAACTTGAATACTCTAAAGTGCCATTCTAGGCAGCAGCGACAAACGAAATTCTCAAATGAAAATCCCTTTCAACCAGCAGACCGGGCTGCATGGTTCGGACACCCAGTGACCTCTCTTCAGGCTGTCATGGCCGCAGGCAGAGAGCAGGCAACTGCCTATAGTTCCCAAGTTGACTCTGTGTGTCCCGTGGCCTTCAAATCCTCTTCAGAATGTTGTAGAAGGCCACCATGAAGTCAAGATGCCCACAGTGACCGACTGATTGCCGGCCAGGAGCGAAAGACTAGCAGAGACACACTTTACTTATAGTAAAAAGAAGCTGGGTTTCTTTGGCAGGAGGGAGAGTTGTGAAAGGCAGCTGGGTGGGCTTGCCGAGGCACATACTTGGTGATCTAAGAGGGATTTGAGGAGGAAGAGGTGTGTTCTGGATGAGATGCTGTTTAGATGAGGGTGAGACTCAGACCTGGGTGTCTTCACCCAGCATCTTGCAGGCAGAGATGTTGAAGAGCACACACACACACACACACACACACACACACACACACACACACACACACCACACACACAAACACACACACACACACACACACACAGAGTCTCAGGGCTTCACTCCCCTTCGTCAGGAGAGAGGAAAGGGTGGAGATCTCTGTAGTTTATGAGTTTCCTAGTCTCTGTCTTATTTCAGATATGGTGTAGTTTTGTCTATGTATTTGGGGAGTAAAGCCAGTATTCCTTGGTCAGCTTCTGGCCTGGTCTCTGGCTATGAGCCATCATCATCAGCTCATCTCTTCCCATTCTTTAAGCCATCGCCAGCATTAACACAGGTGTGGTCCCTGCAGACAGAAATATTTAAGGCAACACCAGTAGTATCAGTCCCGAGGGAGGAGATAACCAGAACCAGATGGAGAGTTGATTGAGGGGTGCTCTTCAGGAACTGCAGGGGCCATTTGCTATGATCTTATTAACAATTATGATAATTCTTTTGGTTTTTGCCACTCCTTTTGCAGAGTGAATCCAGTAATGGATTGGAGGTATTTCTTCTTTTCTCTTGGTAGATGTGGTCAGGACATCAGTTAATAGTAATGGTTTTCAAGACAGACTCATTAACACAGAATAATTGGACCACAAACTGTTGGTGAAACCATATCTCTCTTTTGTCTGTGTAACATCTTTCTCTCATTGTTGGGGTCCTGAAGATATTAAGTTGGGGAAGAAAACCTGGAGATTAATTCAGCTAGGTTGCTTAGAAATGGCATAGGAAAAAAATAAAATAAAACAAAAAACAAAAACAAAAATCAAAACACATAAAAGCAAAATATCATGGCCTGTTTCCTTTGATCTGTTTTATTTCTTATTCTATTACTGCTTGGGCATATAATTTTATTCTTCCTATCACTTATGAAAACACCATATGGCAAGTTCCAGATGACCACAGGGAAGCCTGAGGTCCTTCCAGCAGGCTGATATCTTCTAACATCCCCTGACCGTTGTGTGGTGTGAAGTCTCTTATCTCTCCAGGCTCTTGGAGAATTTGTGCTGGTCGAAAAAGATATCAGGATTAAGAAGAAAGGGAAAATTTTTAGCCTCAACGAGGGCTATGCCAAGTATTTTGATGCTGCCACCGCTGAGTATGTACAGAAGAAGAAATTCCCCGAGGTGAGTGAAGACAGCCTGGGCCCACAGCACGGAGCAGGCTGTGTCTGTGGCGTGCTACGAGAATGACAACTTTGTCTCTTTAAAGGGGTTGATGTCACTGTTTACAGCCTTGACCTGCATGAGTTTGATGGACTCTGCTCAGCTTCATAAATGATCAATTGATTCAGTACCTCTGGGAATTTTTCAAGGGGCCACGGTTTCAAAATTCATAACTTCATCCAGAACTGCTCTCAGATCATCTGTTTAAGCTGTAATCTATAGATTGTGAATGCCCAGTTATCGCTGCTTTAAGATGGAACAGGATCACATCTGGGAGTCTGAGGCACCGGAGGAAGTGGTTCTGTTATTAAATTGTTCTGTTATTAAATAAAACCCAGGAGTCAGATTTGAGACAAAAACCTGGTAGATCCGAAGAGCAACAGAGGAACGATCAGCTGACCCTGCCTCTCCACACTTCCAGATCAAAAAGGCCTTTGAATCTTTTTAAGACCTTCCCTATTCCTTCCCGTGTCTCTCTATCCTAAGGTGGGTCGGCCAGAAACTCTATGATAAATTCTGGCCTGCTGAATGTTGACTCCACCTTCTGATTCAAGGTTTAACTTTATTGGCAGTCTCTGGAGTGTTGGAGTGCAATCAAAATCTCCCACAACATACCCCCCCCATTTTTGTCTAAACAAAAAGGAAGGTTTTAACCCTAACAACATAAAACTATATACAATGAGAACAATGATCAGGTATTGTCTAGTTGAAAAGGAAAGGTTTTAACTTCAACAAAGTAAAACTATATACATTAAAAATAATTATCAGGTAAGAATTATATTCACAATGTCCAGTCTATTTGTATTTAGCAAATTCACAGAAGCTACTCTATTATCTATCCTATCTTGATGAATTCAACTTTTCTACCTAAACCACTTTCTATCACAATGTGCGTTTTCATCCTAAAAACATCATTTTAGACCTTAAAACATTTTCTTGGATAAACAACTTAAGCTGTTATATCTCTCAACCTTATAAATGTTATGCCTCTGTTGTGAGTTTCTTTTATGAATTTGGCAACAAGGGAAACTAACTATAACTATCTAGTGTCAAACCCACCAAAGACTTAATTGGGACTACACAAAGACTTGTAGAGGACAGAAAAAACAAACATTTGGGAATATTTATGAAATATCATCCTGTTAGAAATATGTTATACTATTAGGCCAATTTTTATACGTTAGTTCGGATTGAATGGCACATCAAGATTGATAAAATTAGATTTGCACAAGAGAGATCCCTTGATTAGGAGGGGCAATAGTTCATCAAGCAGTATGGCCATTCAATCTGAGCTAAAATAATTTGTACAGGTATTTCCATGATGTCCTTGACATCTAATAAATGTCTAATTATAGAATGAGCCCTTTTAGAACTCAAAGTAGTTGCCCATTGAAGTCCTAAATACGTATCTGTGGCATGGTGCACATACTTCAATTTTCGAAACTCCACAAAAATAAAACACATCCATTTGCCAAATTTCATTCCTTTCAGTACCCTTTTGGTTACTTCCTGCAAGTAGTAGAATTTGGTTATACAAAGAACATGTAGGGAATTTCTTATAATTTGCTTGGCTTATTGCCAAGTGATAGAAAAATCCCTTTTTCAAGTCTTTGCTATTAAAATGGTGTTTTTTAAAATTCTGAGGCTTCTAGCACATTTCTTATTAACATTTGATCAATTTCAGCATTACCTCATGCTAGAGGGCCTGGTAGACTCATATGGGATCTGCTATGTGTTGTATAGAATGTCTGATTTCTATTTCTGACTATTTCTTATATTTGAATAAACAGCGAAGTTAATTCTGAATCTGGAATAAGTTCAGAAGTTTCAATATGTTGAGAGTCAGTAACTATATTAAGAGGTTCTGGGAAATCTAATCATACCAAAAGAACAGCATGTAATCCTGACTTTTGAACAGAATCACATGGTTTTTCTTTGAGCCACTTTATTTAAATTTCCTAACTTATAACCTGCCTTTCCTGATTTCTTTGCATTAATATAGAATGTAAGGACTCCAGAAATTGGTGTTCCTTTGACTATACGAGGGAGAATCCAATTAGTTCTTTTTATGAACTGAAGTCTCTTGCACTGGGGATATTTGCTGCTAATCTCTCCCAAGAAATTACTTCCGGTTCTCCACCAATGCTTATTTTCTGCCCATAATGAGGTAATTTTAGCATTAGTAAAAGGCACCACGATTTCTTTTGGGTCTATCCCTGTAAGTTGACAAAGTGTCCGTTTTCTTCTCAGAATGAGTTCAGGAGCCGTTTCTACATAGGTCTTTCATGTTTTACCCTGTGTGGTAGAAACACCTATTCAAAGGCGAAGGAGGTGATTGTAAAGTGGCAAACAACCAAATCCAATCAAACGACAACCGTGAAGGGACCTGTGCCCTAAACACCTGTGTTGTTCAGATGTTGGGTCAACCACTGGCCTGTCTAATTCAGTCTCACATTAAAAAAAAAACCAAAACCAAAAACAAAACAAAACAAAAACAACAACAACAAAAAAACCAGCTCCTGACCTTCCAACCTTTACCCTAATGGCAGAGAGAGAGAGAGAGAGAGAGAGAGAGAGAGAGAGAGAGCATCCTTGTGTTGCAGGATATTTAATCACCCTGTGAACCTTGAGATAGTGTTATTTACTGGAAAAACCTGTTTCTAGCTGTGGTGTGGTGGTGGTGAGCTGCCATCTGGGTTCTAAGAATGGAACCAAGTCCTCTGGGAGAGCCCCCAGTACTCTTAACCACTGAGCCATCAATCCAGTCCCAGGAATGCAGAGGCTGCGCCAGTTTGGCTTCTGACCCTGGCGTGTCGTGTTGCAGGCTAGCTGCTAAACCCGGTGGTTCTCATGTCTTCTCCTTTTCTGTCCTACAGGACGGCAGTGCACCTTATGGGGCCAGGTATGTGGGCTCCATGGTGGCTGATGTGCACCGTACCCTGGTCTATGGTGGAATCTTTATGTACCCAGCCAACCAGAAAAGTCCTAACGGCAAGGTAACTTCCTGTGTCCACTGGCTGCCTGGATAGTCAGTGAGCTATTGGGATTCTTCTGCCCCCAGGCTACTGTTATGGGGTTGTGGCTACTGTTATGGCTACTGAGCTTTCTTCTGGGCATGGTGCTTCCTTCAGAGCACAGAGGAAGATAAATATGGTTGGTTTCTCCTAGTCAGTTTTGAAGCTGTGGTAGTAGGTTTGGGGAAGAAAAGGCTAATGTGATTATGGTGGGCGAGTCTTGTGGGTCCTCTGCTCCTCCAGCCTCATGTCCAGTGCCTGCTACAGTTCCTTGCTCATCTCCCACTTTCTATAGAGTCACATGCTTTCATAGGCTGTGTCTGATTTTTATCAGCAGCACTAACTGAACAGGAATTAGTGCTTCACCCCTCCCCAGGCAATCAGTCTACTCCCACGCCCAAATGTGTTGTAAGCATGGTCTTTGCACTTGTTCTTAGAGGGTTTGCATGTGCCCTGAGCTCCACACAAGAATTCAGAATAAAACCTTCTGTTTTGAGCCCCTTCAATGTCTATAGAAAGGGAGCTTACAGAAGATCCAGTAACGGTTTTATGATACAATATTGACAACAGTCACTATCAAGTAGGAACCTTGTTATCCAAATTCTCCTATCATGGCAAGAACTGCCCACAGAAATGTGTCTGAATTTTGGACAGCCACAGAAGTCATAGGTAGATCTTCACAGCAACAGAAGCCATGTATCGTCTAAGTTGACTGATGAGATTTTCATTACTGGAATGCCAGATTCAAAGTGAAGAAATCTATCACAGCCTGTGAGACTGAATGAAAATTGTCATACACATAGGTTTGTGTATCTGGCTTCTCTCCTTGTGAGTATTTTGCTCACCTGCTGACCTCAGAGCCATGGAGAAGTATGCATAAGAGGACCCCAGGAAAGGAAAGCACAGCAGAGGACCAAGTGAGATTGTGTAGAAGATGTGAAACCCTTGAACAAACCCACACTTGATACATTCTTAATTCCAGAAGGTAGACCCCAGATATGTGCATTAAAATGACTGTGAGAGAGTCTAAAATGTCCACATATGATTACACAAATGTGTCCTAAACACAGAGGCGTTTGTAGAGATGTGTTCTTGGCATCATGGCCATTATCCATGCTGCAGATGACCTCAGTTCTTGATCTCTGTGCGTTGGCTCTCTGTGACTACATATGTGTGTGAATGAGCATGTGTATGAGCATGTATGTGTGTACACCCATCTCTGCCTTGAGTACTCGACTCATATGACTGTGGTAGATCTTAAATGCCCCACCCCTTCACCAAAAAGGGAGACTACATGTCCTGAAGGCCAAAGCACCATGGAGTTGTTCTCGGAAGGCCAGCTGTATGTAACAGAAGCACCTGAGGTCCTCACCCACAAAAGTGCATCATGTGCTACCATTGAGCTTTTAAAATATACCTGAACAGACAGATTGGTTTCAGACTGATTTACAGCCCAGCATCTAAATCGTCTTCCTTGCCTTCAAGTCCCCAAGACAAAGGAAGGAAGGAGGAAAGGGGAAAACCTTACAAGCACCTATGGTAAAGATCTCCCTGGCTGAACTGTCAGTACAGAGTGTGCTGCCAATGTCCCTCTAGAGGATGATTAGGGACAAACACAGCTCCCAAGTTAAGTCTTCTCTGTCTCCCGTCAGGTGCCTGCTACTGTGAGGGTCTCTGGAGAAGCCTTCTTAAGTGTTTGGCTAACATGTTACTCATTTCTCCTGGAGTCTGAACCTGCTGCCTCTTGAATGTCTGGCCCTTCAGCCTAGACTGAAGACATTTTGTTCATATTCTCCAGACAGAAGCAGCAGCACCAATGATAATAAATAAAGCAAAAGCCAGAAAACGAACAAGGAGGTAGCACAGACACAGATGTTTCCAGACAGATGATACATTGTTTCAGATCCACCTGGTCAGTAGTGCCTCATGAGTAGTTACCAGCCCCGTGGTACCCAGAGGTGGATACTCGCTCATGCTTCAGGCTCCTGTGGGGCAGATGGTCCAGGGACACACACTCATGCTCAGAAGTCACACAGATAGCTCAGCTGTTCACACTGCTCTCAGTATTTAGGGCATGCCTTGGGCTGCCTGGCCACTTTAAAAATGCCTTCATTTTTCTGCAGCTCCGGCTCCTGTATGAATGCAACCCTGTGGCCTACATTATCGAGCAGGCAGGAGGCATGGCAACCACAGGCACCCAGCCTGTACTGGATGTGAAGCCTGAGACTATCCACCAGCGAGTCCCCCTCATTTTGGGGTCCCCAGAGGATGTGCAAGAATACCTCACCTGTGTGCAGAGAAACCAGGCAGGCAGGCAGTGAGCCTGAACTCCTGAGCCTTGTACTCCGTCGTATGAAGGATTAGACGAAGGGTCAATGGAGATGGCAGGAAGGACAAACACATCAAATTTGCCAGGTCATTTTCAGGACATCATCCTGCTGCTAAGGGTAGTTTTAGAAGCCAGAGGCAAAGATAGGGTCAGAGGGGCAAAATAAAAACATGGTTGTGAAAAGAATTCCTTTATGGGTCTTCCGTCATGGACAGTGTATATGGGCAAAATAGAGCCGTGACTTTCCACCTTCTAACTCATATCCAGGGTCTAGCCATCCACCCAAGAGTAAAAGGCGTATGATCATTTAAGCATTGTCACACATGTACGTGCTGATTATTAGTAGAGATTTTGTGTTTTATTTTGGGCAGGTTTTGATTTGGAAATCTTGTGACTGCTAAAGGTTGAGTTCTTCATTTCAACCCTTTCCAGTCTGTGAATTGGATGACAAAGAACCCACATAAGAAATGTGGTTACCCTTTGGCAAAGCCAGATGTAAGGTAGAGTTCATACTTAAACTGATTGCTTACAGTTTTTAATTTTTCACATGCTCATAGTTTGGGAACTATTTTAAGAGGTCCTAGAGTCTAACAAAAATGGAATAGTCAAATGGTTCCACCCTTGCTCAAATTGTGTGGAGACTAAACAAGTGCATGTCAACTTGTTTGAATGATAGCTGCCATGCATGCCTACGAACTTGGGCTACACACACACACACACACACACACACACACACACACACACACACCAATTAAATTTGTATAAAGTATTTACAAGTACACAACACCGTACAAACATATACACTAAAAATTTTTGGGTCTTGTGATTTAGCATTTTCAGACCTCGGTAGGAGAAATCCTGGGGGAAAACCCAATTAGGGTGTAATTCTGCCGTCATTACTAAGACAGTCACCCACCCTTTCTCCTAGAATATCAGTACCATAGTTGCTTTCTTCTTCAAGATGAATTACATGTTTAACCACAAGAATTCACTAGACAAAAACAGAAGAAAGCCAACTTAACCGTGTTTACTTATTTATTTATTATTTTGTTTTGTTTTTCAAGACTGTTTCACTGTGTAGCCCTGGCTATCTTGGAAATGGCTCTGTAGACCAGGTTGGCCTCTGTCATGAGAAATTCCACAGAGCGCTGCATCTGGCTTGAATTCTAGAGTGTTAGCACCTAGGCTTTGAACTACTTTTTGTGATCGGTACCTTTGTTTGAAACCCTTGCTTCTTATCTGAGTCCTTCCTGAAGGACCCTAGTGTCTTTGAAAATTTTAATTAAGAGAATATTTGGGAAATCAAGAGATTTCATGGCTGCTAATTACTTAGGCAAATTGTTCCTTCAAAGAACTCCAGATAAGAGGTTTGGGTGTGTGGAAATTTGCTTGCTGAGATGTTTAAATTGTGTAACAATAAAAAGGCAGTCGGTTCACCAGACACAGGGCCCCTACTCTTGCTTTCATAAGCCTAAATTTATCCTAGACTGGCCCATTTTCTCCCATGAACCCACACAAAACAGAACCCTGGCAGGCCTTGAACTCCATCTACCTCTGTTTCTCAGGATGACAGGCATGAACCACACTGTCCAGCAATTTTATTTTATTTTTGAGGACCTAATTTTGTACATCTTTTTGAAAATGAAAATTCGGAATTTTTTTTTTTTTTCCTAGTAAAGCAGCATCGTGGTTTAATGAGTAAATGTCACAGATTAACACCACGGCGCATACGGAACTTCAGTGACCACAAGGCAGAGGCTGGTCTGTCCATGCCATCCCCAGCCCGCTCATTCCGTCTTGCTGTCTAGCAGCTCACACAACAGGGTACAAGGCATTTGAAGCAATTCCACTGTGGTTTCTCTGGTCTGTGGCCATTTTTGTGTAGCCACTCATACTGCAGTCTACATTCCAGCTGGAAGAAGAGCCCATCCTCAGTTAAATAGAGAGGATGCAGGGAGCAACCTTACCGCGGTCATTTCATTTAAACACGGATCCAGAAGCCACACTTAACAAACAGATTCAAAGTGGGCAGAGGGTCAACTTCTGAACACCAAAGGCTATCTGAAAGAGCATCGTCAAAACCACAAACTGAGGACATCCGCCCCCCCCCCCACTCACTCACATGCAACGCAAGCTGTAAGAGCATCGGTGCAGACCGTGACAGAATCTTTATGTTATGATCATACACTGATAGTTTGGGACGAAGCTGCTGGGATTTGCAATAAAAGTCCTTCTGAAATTTGAATCGCAAATACTTTCCAGTTTCCCTTGTTAATGTAGATGCAAAATACTTGAAAAACTGAATCCAAGAGCTCATCAAAAAGACTTGATCAAATGGCTTTATTCTAGAGATACAGGCATGGTTGAACTTGTGAAAGTCAGTCAATGTAATTCACTGTATAAACAAATGGAAAGAAAAACCCACATAATCATCTCATTAGATGCTAAAAAGCCTTTGACAAAATCTAATGCCCCTTCATGATAAAAGTCTTGGCGAGAATAGGGATACAAGGGACATATCTAAACATAACAAAGGCAATTTACAGCAAGCCTATAAGCAATATAAAATCAAATGGAGAGAAACTCAAAGCTATTCTACTAAAACCAGGAGCAGGATAAGGCTGTCCATTCTCTCCATATCTAGTCAATGTAGTGATTGAAGTTCTAACTAGAGCAATAAGACAACTCAAAGAGATCAAGGGGATACAAATTGGAAAGGAAGAATTCAAAGTATCATTTGCAGATGATATGACAGTATACATAAGCGGCCCCAGAAAGTCTATCAGGGAACTCCTACAACTGACAAACACCTTCAGCATCATGGCTGGTTATAAGATTGACTTAAAAAAATCAGTAACCCTCCCATATACAAATGACAAATGGACTGAGAAACAAATCAGGGAAACAACACATACCATCTAGTCTGCTCATATCCCAAGTATCCAGCCTCCTTACAATGTTAAAATAGCAAATAAACTCCAACATGGCTTTAGGGGTGAGCATCCCCCATCCCTTCATCCCATCCTCCCAATACCTGCCTCACATAGGCTGTAATTCTATCTCAACACCTGGAGTCCTGCCGGATTGCTGACCCAGCCAATCAAAGCAAGGGCAGGAGATGGAGACAGGGCTGTGGATCTAGAGAGTCTAGACTCTAATGAGTGTGAATCAGATGCATCTGGTCCAGATCCCTCTGCGTAGTCAATTGCTGAATTGCTGAGTCTGTTGAGTGCACCTGTTCTGTTGTGGACTCGCTCAGGTAAGTGCTTCTAGCTAGTCGGGGCACTTTGGGAACTGTGAAGAAGACCAGACCCTTGCAAGGATGCACCAAAGTACCAAGGAAGGTCCCACAAGTATGGAAACACTGCCTTTTCCTCAGCAGCCCTGTGTAGGGAAGTGGAGAAGGATGAGGAACACAAGAAGGTGACCACATCTCACAAGAGTCCAAGAATGTGCAAGTTCCTTGTTAGTGAAAATCCAGGCCTGGCTTCTGCAGGTCCTCTGAACATTGGATGCATGTGTTTTTATTCCTGTGCCAACAGGGATCATCCTCTTACATATCAGTGCAGGTGGGGTTTTCCTGTGTCTCAGCAGTTTCTTCCAAATACCTAGAGTGAGTCTTATTACCACAAATGCTGGGCTGATAGCTAAGGCTTATTACTAACCAGCTCTTACAACTTAAATCGACCCATTTCTATTAATCTATATTCTGCCATGTGACATTGCCTCTCTTTCATCTTGCAAATCCTGTTTCCCCTTTGCATCTCACTGGCAAGTCCTCTGCCTCTGCCCTTCGTCTTCCTTAGTCTGGTCCTACCTAACCGTATCCTGCACAGCTATTGGCCAGTCAGCTTTTTTATTAAACCAATCATAGTGACACATATTCAAAGGATCATTCCATGTATTGGTACCAGGTAGATTCCTCTGGTATCAGCTAGCATGCTTTTAGGGCATTAGCAAGTAGCTAGCATGCTCCTGCCCTAGCTGGGGTTTTTCCAGAAGGACAGAGAAAGAACCAGAGTTCAGAATTCTGGAAGTGGCATGCTCTTGTGTACTACCTGCAGTGGTGGCTCTAGCTGCCTGTGCCTTGATGCTATGATCACGTTCTCTTTGCAGCAGTGGACGGGGATTTGGGAGACACACACTCAAGTGTGGGACAGAAAGATTGATAGTTGTCCTCAAAGGACTCTAGAGATGACAGTCCAGAAAGCTTTCTTCCAAAGGGGGGAGGTTCTAAGACCCAGCTCATCTCATTTATTAGGCAAGAACAGAGGAGCAGGTGACTCTCCCCCCCCTCCAGCTCTCAGGGTTTCCTTTGTCTGTACATGGCATCAGATCCACTCTAGTGGCATCTCACTTAAGTGAACTCGTATGAATACTACAAACCTCTTTTGTTATCTGTGTTTTTAAGTTTCACCCCTAAATCATTACAAAATCCCATGTCATGAAGGTTCCTCCTTTACCTCTGCTTATGGGGAAAATAACCCTACTTGTTCACACGAACAAAAACCCCTTTCCAGCGAGTCAAGACATCAAGAGGAAAATCCCTTCAATTTCCTCCATGTCTTCTCTGTGTATGAGATACCCATGCAGGACTCTTTAAGATAGCTTGCCATATATTAGGTCAGCAGGCCTTCATTCCAGAGGGGTATGCCCTGTGCCTGGGAAGAAGGAATCCTACAAAGCAGGGCAGAGCAATCTGAACATACAAACCTGGCTGTTTTCCTCCACTTGACATGTCTCACATGTCTGTACATGTCTCTTCCTCATCAAACTGAAGCTTACGTACTGTTTTCTCCGAGTCTTTGGAGCTTCATTCCCGAGGGCTGTCCTGCCAGGTAAATTGTGATCAAATGAATGCACTATGCTTTTCAATTGTTAATCTTTCTGTTTGCTGCGTAGGGCCAGCCATGACCCCCATCATATGTCCCAGATCAAAAACTATCCTATGAGTTATAAATTCAGGAGAAATCATGGAAGGCAGTTAAACAAAAGTGATGGAAGATGTTGTCTGCTCAATCTCTGCGGAAGGATGGAACAGAAAAGCGTGGTGTTCCCAGCCAGTTCTGATTCTTATTTCTATTCTCCTGTCTCAATGTCTATGGAACATTACTTTTTTGACAGCTAGTCGTTAAAACTGTCACATTTCAGCCGAATGGC